GGCTGAGATTTGTCGCTAATTAATGAGCTGTAAAATAATTGATTAACTACGTTGAATTTCATTAATAACTTTTTCTCCTTGAACAGATGCAGCTCAACGATTTCTTATTTTGTGATCATTTCTATCTGCTTTATATTATTTACAACGGCTGGATGAAACAAAGACACCAGAAAATTTCTTCACAATTGGTTAGGTGATGTCTTGTTATATAATAATTTGATTGTTGATCTCAATCAAATTTATTTACACTTGTTATTATTTTTATTGTAATTGTCACTTGTGTAAAAAATGTATAAAAAATACTGCACAAACAGATTTTTTTTCGATTATTATCAGAATCCGAAAACTGTACAACCCATATGTTTTTATACTACTTAGAAACTATCTTCTTCAAATTTCCCTTGTCCAACTCTAAGAATGACATGTAAGAAATCTGTTTCAATAACCGATTGAATTCAACACGAGTTATTAAATTATTTACCGCTGAATTGTCATTTATTGCCGCAGGGCCATTTCGTTAATCGTTTTACGAAGATACAGTGAGCATTTATGGAGTGTGAAATTGAGTCTTAAAAAAAGTTAACTAGCGATACCAGTAACAGTCTACGTTTAAGAGGCAATGAAAGCGGTACGTCTAATTTACAAGTCGTCGAACGGAGACAAATTTTAGCGCGCCAGGACCATTTTGCTTTACAAAGGGGATTAGCCGACAGACGTCACGTATTCTGAAATGCTTACATTAGATTTCCATAAGGAGCTACGCCGAAAGTCGGATGTTGACCCTACAGAGCTGAAAAGAGAAACTCGTTACATGATGTCTACATGGATCACTTCTCTCTTCGCTCACATTAAGATGAACTTTCCACCTGCTGAGAGACGATAAAACAATGACATTGAAGCAAATATATAAATCATGCCGCGTTAATTTGTAGTTTAACAAGAGTTACCGTTGAATGCGCGTGCAAATCTTCTTTTCTGAACCTTATCTTTGGCCAACATATCTATTTCCACATCTGTTCGTTTAAGCGAGCTTCATTGAAACTCTTACAGTAATGTCGATACGTGTTCGAGTCCCGGAGAAAAATGAAATAAAGAAAAAATTGTATGACGACTGTGGGTGGTGGAGAGGGATTTAATGCACTGGCAAGTTGATTGACTGCGATAAATATGAACTGCGATAATATGCTGTATTAGTCACGTGCTGCATTCAAGAGAACTGCAATTTCTCTCTTTCTCCTCTCGCGTTTATGCGTTACTATGGGCCACACTTACCTACTGATCCATATTACTCAAGCGACGGAGTACTCAAACGATCGTGAGAAATTTAAAGGTTCGGATCTTTTGGAAAATCAATTTTCTCGATTTTGAAATTCCTGTCAACATTAGTTATTATTAATAAACCCAAAAGTACTCGCATGTTGTGCGTACGTGAAAAGCTTAATGTAAAATAAAATTTACTTCATTTAGAGATCGATTTAAACAAATAATTTTTGTTTTCACCGCTCTTAATCTTTTTATTTTCCCTATAATTCTTAATAATTCTGCTTTTATTTTTCAAATTATAATTCTACTTGCATTGTCTTCCTATCGTCCATTTTTTACTTCATTCTTTTCCCTATTTTTTATTTTTTTAATTTCATATATTTATTATCTTCTAATTTATATCCTTTTCTTTATTACCGAAGATGATCCAGTTAGGACCGAAACGTCTATACATTTTCTATTTTAATTTAACTCTTTTTTGACACTACAACCCTGTCTAGTCTCTAAGCCCCTTCTACGATTACTTTGATTTATTATCTTGTTGTAATAAGATGCCAAGTAAATACCACAAATCGATGCTAATATAATAAAATGTTTAATCGATTATACTATCGTAATGTATAATGTAAGAAAAATACTAATAATATATTTCCTTAAACATTAGTAAACTCTATTGTAAATTATGAAAATAAACGGCACGCACATTGTTTTTACGTGTTAGTTAATTATTAAAAGTAACATAATTTTGCATTGTAAATAATTAAATAAAATTAATATAACTAGTTAAAAAAATATATTTTGCTATTCCCTCCCTCGCCATTACTTGTCTATAGAATCCATAGAAAAACGAAAGAAGATTTTTCGAAATATTTCAATCTTTATACTATTTTTATTCTACGAAAATTATCTCGCACAATCACTAATTAACGAATATTCGAAAACCACTGCGTTTGAGCATCTCTACACGCATTTAATAAATGCCAATTATTAAAAATGTTTAACCTCGATAGTTGTTCTATTACACGCTGGTGTAACTTATTCGTATTTATTGAAACTATACGTCAGACAATTTATGTTGGAAACAAATAACATTCGGCAAAATAACAGCGCAAGATAGCACGTAGCGACAATAGGAAATTGTGAATACCATCTCACTTTTCGCACTAATCGGGAGGTGCATCGACTGCTGCGGCTAGGAAGAACTGATTGTAGAATGTAAAGCAAAAGAGATCAAAGAGATCTCGTCAGAAAGGGAACACGTGGTACTGGTGCAGCCCGCGGCCAGAATAGGACGTTACACAGGTGTGCACCGTCGTCGTCGTCGTCGTCGTCGTCATTTAACCGATCGACTTTCACTGGCGGGTCTCTGAACTCGCTGGCGGCCTCTCACGAAGAACGTCTCTTCCGGTTCGTCCCGTACTGGTCCCTCGTTCGTGAACTTGAAAATTAAACCGGCTGCCGTCGACGAAGTTTCGCGCGTCTCCGAAATCCCGTTGATAAAGATCTGTACCCGATAATTAAAACTTGCTTGCGCGAAAGAGAGACCGAGAATAGCGGAACAATGGCACGACGAAGCACGTATGAAAACGCAATAAGTACTGGCTCTGCGCGGCTTTTCTAACGAGTCATTTTAAACGGAAAAGGACAATTATGTTTGACACGATTTATTTAATCCGCAAGTAAGCAAGAAAGGACAATGCGGTATCCCCAAAATTTTTACAGTGATAAACTTTGTAATAATCTGCAATATCAAGGAGAAATTTTAAGCCGTTGCGATAATGGTGCAAATACTATTTATATTGTAATTTAATGAAAATTACTAAATGCATCGCGGATGAGGCATTAGATTCAAGGAGCGTTTGGAACTGCACGCAAAGCGAGATAAATCAATGTAAATGTCGCATTAGGAGAGCATCGCCATGAAATCTCTACTTCTTTGTTTCCAGTTTATCCAACGAGAGCACAATACGATATCTCTGGGATGAGACTCATTGTGGATTAATTTGGAGGAACGAATCTCCTCGCCAGTCGCTGGAGAACACGGTTGCGTTTTTATCCGTATACTTGGAGATGTAAACGGAAGTGCTTTAATGTTATTTATCAAATATTTTTATTTGATTTTTATAAAGTAATTAATTTCTCCGAGGAACTTAATTTTATTAATGTTTATTCTTTACGAAGAGAAAAGATTTTAGAAAGAATTTAGAAATTTGCAAATTCAAAAAAATCAGAGGACCTATAAATTCGCAAGATTGTGTCCTACAATTCAATATTGTAGTGGCGGTACGAGATATTTTCAGAATTTGGACGTCGGGGAATTACACAAGTCGAAAACACGAAATGAAAGCGGTGCAAAGTTGAGAAATGAAGAGCGAAATATGAGTATTGAGAAAGTATTAAGAGGAGAAGAAACCGAAGATAAAGATGTAACGAGGTGGTCCAATCGTCGTCCCGAATGTGTAACTTCTTCTTGGCAATGACTTGGTAATTGGAGCAAACGGAAGTAACGCATTATTGCCGCAAATTAATTTCGTCACGGCATAAATAAAAGTTGCCTTAATTTGCAGAAGAACCCGACACATATTCTTTTTATTCCCTGATCAATGGCACGTTATACCATTACGTTTCCCACTCTCTTTTTCCTTGTCTCGCTGTCCCATTCGAGTAACAAAATATTTTCGGCAACTTATATAAATAGTGTCCCCCTAAAAGTTGTTTACGCGACATAATCAATTTTTTTAGCTGAACAGTATCTTTGACATTTAAACAGAGAACTTGGATTTGCATAGAAACTACAAATTAAATACAGGTCCCCTTTTTCATATTTTTGAAATACGTAAAAATGAAAGACGAACGCGCTGCAACCGGTTAAAGGAACTCTGAGAAAGAACTCGCTGAGAAGAAGACTATTTTCGTTATATAATAAATACGGCATAGTTTTCTCTTCCATTTAACGCTTGTTATACTTAAATTTGATACAGTACCATACGGAAATATCTTCAGGTGCATGTGAATCCTCCTCTTTCGTTCGTGCAAATAAATCGCAAAGATACACGGACAAAAAAATGTTTTTTAACTAAGTAAATAGATGTACCTAAAATTATTTCTGCTACTGAAGTAAATATTTATTCTATTTAAATAAAAATATCCAATTTCAAGTAAATCTGTGTATTATATTAAGTAGATTTTATGAGATGTAGAATACTATTTATTAAATGAAATAATTGTTTTTGTTAAATGAGAAATCCAATTTTCTTCGCGGTGAAAATTACATCTTAGTAAACATTTTATAGAATTAAAATAATATTTTTTAAATTTAAAATAATCTATTCTTTAATATTTAATAAATACTTAAATTAAAGCAATGCATGTTTTAATTTGTTTATTATTCTTTATTTACGTTAATAAGCTATTAGGAGCCACCTAATGAATAATTTTCTTGAGTAAAGTAAAATTTTTTCTTATTAAGACATTTTTTTATCAGTGTAGCAAGAGGGCGAATTTTCTTCCGGAAAGATTAAACTGACTTATGTGCGATTAATTAATATATCATAAGGTCGGGTGAATATTACATGAATAGTTCAATCGTCCCGGGTGTCTCCCTTAAAACATCATGGATCAACCTCCCCTCTCTCTCTCTCCCCGGAAGGGTTAAACGCGGACGTCTCACGCCGCTACGGAAGAGGACGAAGGCGGGCGCGAGAAGTAGGTCGGAGAGAAGTCTCGCTCATACGTTGATCGGGCGCACGAGGAGCCGCCGGTCGAGCGGCTCCGTCAGTCTCGCGAAGATATTCCGGGAGTCAACAGGTGCGGTAGGAGCCAGGGAGCCTCCGGAGTGAGCCCCTTTTTCCTCTTTCCACGTCGCTTTCGTTTCTCGTGCGTAAGAACCGGAGCGGTAGACCCCGCGTTTTCGCGCGACGTTTCTCAATTCGCGACGACAACCGGTGACAGTCGCATATCATGCAGTCCTGAAGAAAGTAATCTTCGTTTTCCCCCCGCGGACCTCGTGCACCTTTTCACGCGCCGCCTCGTAATTTTTTTATTTATCGCAGAGATTGCTAGGAAATTCAGGAAATATAGCAACGATGACGAAACGCCAGGTAAATCTCTTTCTTTCTCTCTCTCTCTCTCTCTCTCTCTCTCTCTCTCTCTCTCTCTCTCTCTCTCTTTTCTACTTTTATCGTTAAATGTACGTGTGACGCATCGCGAGTTCACGATGACGTGATTTTCGTAGAAAGTTTTGCGAATCCTATCGCGCACGTTTTAACAGGTTGTTAAACAGGAAGAAACGTGGGAGCTGCGCGGTAAAATGCGTATCTTTTAATTTGATTTCTCAATAGAAAGGTTATTAATTTTGTAAAAATTCAGTTTCGCAATTAAAAAAATATTCAGCATCGCGTAATTAATTGACGCTTGTATTAGGGAAATCACTTTCCAGGCTAGAGTAAGCATTTCTATAATATACTTGACTCTGACGCCTTTACTTGTTAACATTTACATCCTCATCTGCTACAACTGTTATGAACGAGACAGTAATATAAGACCAAAGCCATATGATTAATTAATCCGCAAAAAATGCGGATTTGCTTCCGTCGATTACGTGCGTAAGTATACACGCACGCGGCTTATCTCTTTTCACGATCGGTGCAATAACGAACCGTGAACGATACCACACGGTTGATCGCGGGTTAATCTCGCTCATCTCACGAAGCCCGTGCTTAATCGATCGGCACGCGTGACGAAACCCGATCCTCGCGATCATCAATCGGCGGTAGAGTGTGGGCGGTTTCCACACGAACGAGCGCGGCGGTCATCGGGGGGGGGGGGGAAAAAAACTAGATCTAGGCTTAATTGCCGTGCAATTAATGTCGACCCGTGGATTTTCTGGAGCGGAAACCACGAGTGACATGCATCAGTGTGCTATGCGTATCGTTGCGCCGCATATTTCGACCTCACATTAATGCGTAGCGTTAACTGACCGGGATCTCCTATGTCCCGCACGAAATTCAGTCCTTTAAGTAGATAGGCGTGCAACTATTTTCCGAAAATAAATAAATATTAATTAGTTAATTACGAAAGGTAGGATTTTGCACGTTGGACTAAAATCTTGGATTTAAACAAAAAGACACGCACATAGGAAATCATAAAAATAAAAAATGTTATACAGTTTAGTAAGGTAAAGAGACAATCATAAATAAAGATATAATGTAATATATTTTAATTATTAAATTATATGTTGAATAATAAATTTAATTATTAAATAAATTATTAAATAATAGATAAGATCTTTTAATTATTAAATTTGCCAAAATCTCTCTCTAAACGCGATATAAAATCTAATTGAAAAGAATCGAATTTTTCTTCTTGAAGTACTCTTGAAAGTGTAATTTCTAATTAATTCTAATTCTCTTGAATGTACGCGGCAAATAAATGAGCAATTGCTATTGAAATTGATACGACTGATTGCAAAACGCGCTCTGTCGGCCACGCGTCCGGTATCACAGATATCAGTAGTTGACAATCACCTATCGAAAGTTATCGGGATGGAAAAAGTGGATCGTTTCGCGTTACTCCCTGCCCGGCGTACGTACGTGTACATGGTACGATACGCACCGGCCGTAGACGAGTTAACGCACGCGCGTGTTTCACGCAAAACGTGCACGGGGAAAGCATGTCGTTCCATTTCACTTGCCGGTGTAGCACGCTCGGTCCAGAGCCACCTTTCACGATTTTATTTCATTTTATCCGCCTTTTGCGCGCGCGCGCGATTAGAAAGTATTTTTTTGTCCGCCGTAACACACGTCGAACTTCAAGTGCACGTACTTCAACGACCGGATATGCGGACGTTTTCTCGTTAACGAGAGAACTTCGAGTGATTTCTAAAGGTTGCACTCCAAATAATGGCACTCTTCGAGGAAACGAGACTAATGGCGTAAACTAATTAATTAATTAATTAATTACCGACGAACGTACGGCGCAAGCATCGATTCATCGAGAAGGCGGGGGACTCGTGCCGTCAATCTAACGATCTACGTGTTCGCATTTCTTCGCGAGCACTCTGTTACGCTTCTATCACCTAGTTTCGGGCACGTCGAGATGATATTTTATAATTCGCGCGATGAGTCAGCTGCAAATTTACGGTGCAATCGCGCGATTGTCAGCTGCGCGTAATTCCAATCAGGGGTAATCGTCACGTTTGATAATAGAAAGTAACCCACCGCTCGGTTACTACATTGCTATTTTCTAATGTCGGGAAAGAATGCCGGCAATCTCAGCGGGCTATTAAATTTCTCTCGTCGCCGAGCCGCTGGACCGTTGCCGCTCCGATGACTCGGCCGAATCACCCGTTACGAATAAATCGAGATGCGCCGACGAGAATTCGCGGGATGCGACACGAAAAGCGCGCGGCTAAATGTTCGCCGGCGTGTTCGTTCGTATTCGCGCAGATCGCGGGTTTCTAGGGACTCGTAAGGCCGACTTTCGAAAACCTTTTTTAAAACTCATTTCGCATTCCGGTCGTCTCCGTTTGTTCTTCGATCGTCGAAGCGCAATCGTGCATGTATGTACGCAACATCAGATGCACACGCTCGCGCAAGAATTACAGTGCGCGGTATCGCTAATGAAGCGTCGCGTCGTCCCGTCGCGTCGGTGAAAATTATCGGACAATCGAAGTCACCTCGAGACAAGTGTGCAACTCTTTGCATAGACCTGAAGTAACATTTCCCAATCGCGTCTTTTTTCTCAATTTCGTTCACGTTTTAAACCTCCACAGATCGCATTAGGCTTTGCATTTGCGCATAAACGCCTTTATCGACGCCTTCCAGTTTAAATGCAGATTTAATATTTTTATTTCCACTGCAAGAAAGTAACCGCAAGGTAACGATTCGTTACTTTTTGAGTAACTAGTTACATTTTTAGCAAAAAAAAAAAATTGTAATTCCTGTCACGTCACGGCCACCATTAGTTGAAGAAAGACGTTGGATGAGAAATCTACTGCAATATCAATAATCAAGCTTTTTAGCCGACATGAACACTGAAAAAAATGTCTGGTTGAATATGGCCGAACCAGATAATTCCTGTAGGATTTACCAGAATTCCTGTAATCCTACAGAAATTCTGGTAAATCCTACAGGAATTCTGGTAAATCCTACAGGAATTATCTGGTTCGGCCATATTCAACCAGAAATTTTTTTCAGTGAACCAGCCAGTGTTTTAATACAGAAAATTTATTGCGAAAAATATTACCTCAGCCAGGGTTTGAACCTGGACTTCCCTACACTCGAGGCGGGCGTCTCACCAATTCGACCACTGAGGCATGTGGTAATATTTGTCGCAATAACAGTATGAAGATATTAATACTACTGTAATATCCTTAACGTTAAGCATTGATCTAAAAATAATCAGGGTTGGGAAAGTTACTTCGTAAAAGTATCTAGCTACAGTTACAATTTTTTTTTTGCTAAAAATGTAACTAGTTACTCAAAAAGTAACGAATCGTTACTTTGCGGTTACTTTCTTGCAGCGGAAATAAAAATATCAAATCTGCATTTGAACTGGAAGGCGTCGATAAAGGCGTTTATGCGCAAATGCAAAGCCTAATGCGATCTGTGGAGGTTTAAAATATATATACAGTAACTATTAATGTAACTGTTAAATTAGTTGCGAGTTACCGAAAGAATGTAACTGAGTTAAGTTACAGTTACAGATGGAGAGAAAGTAACGAAGTTAAGTTAGAGTTGCCAAAAATCAAAGTAACTTTAACTGGAACTTGGTTACAAGGAACGAGTTACTTCCCAGCCCTGAAAATAACTAATTCAACGCGACAATTGTTTTTGACTGGATAAGTTACTACTCGGTTTAGAAATGTAACTTGACAGAAATAAATTGACAGCTTTACGGTGGATTTTATATCACGCAATTAAATTTGATTTTAGATTATCTCCCTTCTGCTTCTCGTGGCTTTGACACTTGGCACATGCTATGGCGAATTACCCAAACCAGGCTATACCAGGACGATGCTGAAGGTCTCTCGAAGTCTTCCGGGTGAAACGGAAGAGTTGAAAGTGCGAACGAGCGAAGGCAACGTGGCGACTTTAATCATCAAGCGACGAGACAAATCGCCGTACAGCAATGATTCGAAGCCTATACCGAAACCTGCTCGGGAAGAATCGAATTTTACCGTAGAAGATAATAGAGATTTCTCGACAAATGCAGGGAATAAGTCGATGCTCAACGACGAAAAGGACGAAGCCAAAAGGAAGGACGAGGTTCGGAAACTCGAGGAAGCTCAAGTAGAACAGATCAGGGCGGCGGTCTCCAAATCTTCGGAGCCAAAAAATGAAAGACCGGACGTCGATCGGATCGACAGGAGACCGGCATTTGAGAGAGGTCAACCTATTAATGTGGTCGATTATGGTAATTGGACGCCGTTGGACGCAGACGGGAGGGCCTTGAGGCAGGAGGAGCCGGAGGAAGAGGAGGAGTATCGAAATTGGAAACCGCTGCACACAAACTTGGAGTCTACCGTCGAGGAGAGGACAAACTACGACGGGCTAGGCGAGGCCGGCTTCGGCGGCCTCCTGTTTGCCAGGAACTTCCAGGACCGAGCCCAGAGAAAGCTCCAGCTTAACGATCAAACTGTTGCGAACGATGAGTTTCATTACATGTACATACCTCATATAACGTCCACGAGGACAAACATTGGTGCCAACCTGTTGAAAAACCGAGATGGCAAGACCGTACCCCCGGAGGTGATTGTTCGTTCGGAGATCAATGTGAAGACCGCGCCGAAGAGATCGCCCATGTCGTTGGATAGCGACGGCACGCCGGTAATTCACGGTACGAGAGTGCCCGACGAGCCTATCGACAAGGTGCAGACCTGGCGAAACGCTCGAGTTATCAATAACAAGCTGATCACTCCCGAAGGCAGTCTGGCGGTTGCCGCGGATCCTCCAGTTGAGCCTTTCGGCGATAACGCAGAGAGGCAGAAATTCGAGAAGTTCTTTAACGACGTTAATCGAAGGTAAGGAAAGATACGATTTGCAGAAAATCTGTCGAATACATTGCCCGAGTGTCGACAGCGAAGTGCTAAGAGTGCTCGAAGTAAGGACTCGCCTGTTACAGCTACCTATCGTATCCGTGCAAACGTAGATACTGATAAAATCTAACATACAACTTAATTATGCTAATTATTTAGTTTTGCCAATTTTATGCAACACCTTTTGTAATTAACAACGTCAGTGTTTCCTTGACCGTACCTGGCATTTTTAATAATACAGAAAATTTCCTGCGAGAAATATTACCTCGGCCAGGGTTTGAGCTCGATCGACGAATCATTTCTCACTGGGTGGACCTCGCTACACTCTAGGCGGGCGTCTCACCAATTCGATCACCGAGGCATGTGCTAATATTTGTCGCGGTAACAGTATAAAGATGTTGTCAACGCGTCCATTTCGACCTTTGTGAACTGCGCGCCGATAAGGGTTGTCGGCCGTACGCGGAACTGTCGGATACACGCGATTTTTACGTTACCTTTTATAATTCTTTGTTCTTAGTCTCACTGAGGATGACCCGAAAACGGGTCCAAACGTTTGATGATTAATTTATAAATTCAATAGATAGCTCCATATTGGACATTTTCGCACGAATACCTGCGTTTGGCCCGCATTGGCCTTCTTCCCCCCCCACCAACTAATCATTTTAGTTATTAATCGCATAGATTATTCGTTTACATGGAACGATACCGCCTGCAGTTTCCTTATTTTGCTTTACGTCCGACAGATACGGTCGCAATTACGACGAGGAAGCCCGCAACGTGTACTTCGAGTGGGATCCGCGGAATTACAAAAATGAAGCGTTGAAGGCCGAGGTGTACGAGCCACGTAACGACAACTACCGCGCGAGCGTCCACAAGAGGATGCTGCATCCGGACGGCATCACGAGCTATCCGATTTCTCAACGTTATACCACCGAGAGTCAGACCATTGCGCCGGTGGCGTTGAAGGCCGGCGCCCGCGCGCCGGTTCTCCAGTACGCCCATCCAGAGCTGGGCGTGCAACCAGCCAAGATCCTGAAGAACGAGAAACGCCGGCCGGACAATTTCCCGGAAAATCAGCACTCGTTCACCGAGCAACGTCACAAGAAGAAGTACGTGCTGAACAATAAGAACATCGTGGACAGCTACACCACGAAGAACTACTATCCGAATCAGCACTTTTACGGTTTGAAGCGACCGTACGAGCCGCCTTTCTGGGTGAAAATTTCCGAAAATCTGAAGAACCAGTTCTCCACCGGAGTCGAGAGGATGTCGCAGTTTACCAGGCCGGTGATTGACCCTCTGGTAGAGGCCACTCACAAGATCTCGCAGAATCTCGGTCTGTCCAAGGGCAAGGAGGCTCAGGACAAGATCGGCACGGTGGCGTCAGGCACTAGTATCCTGATACCGGCCCTAGGCCTCGTCGCATCGGGCGCCGCACTTGGTATAGGCGCAGTGGCGGTCGGACGGTATCTCGATGTCGACGTCTTGAAACGGTCAAAGGTGGACGACATCGATTTAGAGCACAAGCGTGCTTTGGAAGCCGGAGCGTACTTAGGAACGATCGACGACGAGAGTTTAAGATCGAACGAAGCGGCACCGCAGACCTTGTACATTCTGCAAAACGTCCCTCGGGACGAAATGAAGGCGGGAAACGAAGGCGCGGAAAGCGACGGGGTCTTCTTGGTCCTGGAAGAGGACAAGCGGAACGCCGAGGGGATTGAAAATCGGGAAAGTAAACAGATGGTGGACGAAGCTGATTATGTGGAAACCCACAGACGTAAAAGGAGAAGTCTCGACTATCTAGACGTCTTCAAGACGGATGCCGACATGAAAAATCTGGTACGCAGCGAGAGCTTCCAGAGGAAAGGGGCCGACTCCATCAGCGAGATCGTGGAGATTGATCTACCCACTGGCTCAGGTCGCGTCGACATCACCGAGTTCCTGATTCCGAAGAAGAACAAGGAGAAGCACTTGAGTGAAAATGCTATTCTAATAGTCGAGGACAGCTTGAAGATCCCATCGGAAAATCTGCAAGTGAACATGTTGAATCAGAACGGATTGAAAAACGCCGCGAAAATGATTGGAGACGCCGAGGACAGTTCGCGGGACGCGATTTCGATAAATGAAGATGGAAGAAATCGAGGAGCCGACGGTGCATTTTTGGTGTTGGACAGATCGCAAGTTCTCGAGAGTAATCTCGAGAAGAAGACAGCAAACAGGAGACAAAAGCGGAGCGTCGACAGTGACCAGGAGCTTTTGGATACGTTGCAGAATCTGGAGAACGCGGAAGTGGCGGAAGTTGCTCATATACAGGGCGATTGGACAAACACGCCCTGCGCAAAGAGGATATTTTGCGACACGATGCTCCAGAAAGGTTCCGATGCCTCGGTGCTCATGGAGAAAAAGATGGCAGCGTTACTGAGACTGTGAGTACTCTCGATCGATTACATTTCTTTATTTGTAAGAGACGGAAACTATTCCTATTTTACTATTTTACATTCATAAAATATTGAATGAGGAATTGAATAGATTATTTAAAATTGAAAAATTTCGACGAAATAAAAAATTATTCATTACGGTTGTGCCTTTTACACATCGCCGTTTAGAAATTTAAGTTAATGTCTTTTAGTCCTTTCATTAAAAATCTTTGACTATTGTTAAGGCATATTCTTCGTTTCTCCCTTTTTCTTATTAATATAATTTTCATTTTTTGAAGTGCATTATTTCATTATTTTTATTTTTGAGAAAAGAATATTATTTAATTATCTGCTCAAAATTCCCATGCAACAATGCTCGATATTGTACGAATAATTTCTTCTTGAAGATGTCACAACTACGTAACGGAGTTTGTTTCTTCACTGTCAGCGTTTATTAAGTTAATAAAGCAATACACGTAACCGCACAATAAACTATCGCTTCTCGCCGTGTTCTCACGAAATCATACAAGCCGATTCAGTGGACCTGAACTATCAGGCACTCGAAGCGTCAATCGAAGCACACGAGACGCCGATAACAGTCGGACGGAACTATAGTTCGAGCCGTGGATAACTTTCTTCCAGCTTTCGCCGACGACGTCCTACTGACTGATTCGACTTTTACCTCTTAGCACAGTTTCACTGTATGCGCATGATGCGCCCTGTCCGTTATCGCTGGCCATGTGCGATAGAAAAAAAAAAATTGGCGAGAGAAAGAGAAAGAGACTTAACAGGTTGTCGAAAACAAAAGAAAAGAAGGGACAAAGAGAAAACTTGCGTGCAACCGATATGATAATTTACTTACGTCGCGTTCGCCTCTTTCCTTAATCGCGTATACAGGGTCTTCGCCGGATCGCTTTCTGATACGATTTCATTAGTGCCATAGTAGTTAGGTGAAATGTGTCATTTAAAATAATTCGTCTTGTTTAAAATTTACTGCTTGTTGGAAATATCGATTCGTAATTATTAACACAATTGAATTATAATAATTAATTCGTAACGAATACAGATCATTTTCCCACGCGTTTCTCCACTTGCGTTGTTTCAATATAATCAAGATAGTTTCGTATGTTTTTTGTTTTCGACAATTAGAAAAAGTTTATAGAAATTGGAACATTTCGAGGACCTTAGGGCTAGTATTCATAGTCGGATCTTACATTCAAGACTGCCTCAAGATTATCTTTAGATACTCCGTAGCCAATGAAATGTTCCGTACAGCATCTTTAGATAAATTCAAGACGGTCTTGAATATAAGATCCGACCATAGACACCGGCCTAGGAGGTTTTGTTGAGAACGATTGTCTAAATACATGTAAGTGTCGCTTCAGATCAATTCCACGTGGGATAAGAAAGCTTATTGCGAGTAATTCTAACGATATTACGTGTTGGTTATACACGAATGAATTGTTAATGATAAATATGGCGTTTCCTGTACCCACAGCATGTGAAATACACACCATTATTCGATTCGATTCATAGCAAGCGCGTCCATATACCGATGAGAGAGCGGCATTATATCATGTACTATGTTGTAATGCATGCTATCCCCGAGCAAGCAGTTCTCACATACGTGACGAGAATTTGCGGGACACAAGCCGCATTTCTAAAAATAGCGAGAATTGCAGTGTCCAATTGAAAGAAGGACAATATGCACATAGCTTCCTCTGTTTTCTTCTCACGATTACATGTTTGTAAGATTTTACAATCTCCCCCAAAGCGAGTCTTTCTCTCAAATTCGTACAGCGGCCGACAAATATTAAATTGAAGATAGTGAATATAAAAATAAAATTTTGCTAAGAAAATTTTACTTCCTTTTCCTAGTTTCAGAATAACGTTTCGTCGCATTTGTATTCTGAAGCTGGAGGTATAATTAAATTTTGCCCCGTACAATTGTAATACATTATAATAAATAAATACTTAATTAACCTCTAATTTATCCTAGCATGAAAGTACATGCACTTCTAAATCAGCTTATATATCTCAAGTCTTTGCGCCCTAAAGAAAGCGAGTTAATTGGAGCGAGCGATCGTTAATGGGGAACACGGTGAGAAGATTAAAAGATTCGCAATCTAGTGCACACCTAATTAGTAATTAACTGCGGTGTCGGTCATTTGTCGAAGTGTGTCTCCGACTTTCTAATGCCTCGCTATCCTGCGCTAATCGGCATTCGCGCATACTTACAGAATTCAACCTGGAGCGGCCGTACAGGTGTCCAGTCACTTCGAAGAAGTCATGGACGCTGTCAGGAGACACGATTGTTCCAACTTCCTGTGCCCACAGGCAAGACCCGGCAACGTCTTCCTTTAGACACGCCTGTAGTTCTCAAATTGCGCCATCGACTCTACAAGCTGGCACTTCTAACTCTCATTTAGTTCTGCTAAAAAAAAATTATTCTACTCTTAACGTTCCGTTGCGTTTGCATCCTGGAAAGTTAGCTAGTTAAATCCTGTTTCTTTTTTCACGGAGCGCAGAAACTACTTCTGTCCAGACGTTTTCATTAGGGGACAAGTAGTTTGATTATCAACGGGAAAATATTTCCGTATAAAAAGACAAGTTCATCAGCACGGAACGTTTTTCTTTTTTTACATAAAATTGGTATATTCATACATGTCGATGCATAGAAATGCTAATAATAAATAAAGACGTTCGTCCAAGGCTTGCCGAACATACTAAATTCACATGATATTTGAACGTATACTTTTCGACTAGTGGAAATTTGCGACTCGCGTGATTGTGAGAGAGATTAGTTGTACTTAAAATCTTCAGCGTGATCTTCAAGAAAATATTTCATTAATTTGCAATGAGCTTGCAATTAAACATGATTTCGTCAAATACGCGCTGAGTCAGAACCGAGCCAAAACTGTATATACTTGCCATCGAGGCGATTTTATTTAATGTGCACTAATATTTGTAGTTTAGATAATTAAGTAGAATTTAAGAGAGAAGATGGAAGCTCGGCGATAAGTGAATTGCATTTTCTGCAATCCCCGAATGTTCACCGTCTTGTGGTATTTCCTAATTCTTTGGTGAACGGACTTTCGTCTGCTGCTTCATCTCGTCTCATTTCTGACCTCCGCATTCCGTCTGAATATAAATTATGAGTGAAATGTAATTCATTCCGACGCACTGAGAGATCAGGAATGATCGTAACGTTATTAAATATTACTAATTCCGAAGAAGCAACGTCGCCAGCCGTCACGCGAACATATGTATTTATTACTGTCCTTACAACGAATAAATGACATTTTCTACAACACATCCGACGTTTGAGCCTAATTCATTCTTACTTCAGTGACATCTCTTTGCGGATTTCGAACAACCGTTGGAAATTAAGCGTTCGATGTTAGTAAACGATAGTCCCCGTCGGGCAAGCAACTTGCTTATAGTCGAAAAGCAAGTGCTGCACTCACGGCATTTCATCCAGCGTATGGTGATTACGTACTGGTCATGATACTATATTGATTGTTATCCGAAAGGGTTGGCAGAAGTACTCACAGATGGTAGCGGCTCGATGCATCGTGTACTGAGCAAGCGCACAATCAGTCGGTTTGGTATAATCACGAAGAACGATTCAGTTAAACGGTAATTTTTGCTTCGTGAACTGCAATGAACGTAAACGAAGGTAGAATGTATTTAAAAAAAAAATAGTAGAAAGTTCGCAATACGATATTCTACTAAAATAATAAATAAGTGCGTCGTGTGAAATAGTTACGTATTACAGTATCACGTAAAATTTATACGCTAAATTACTCATGTGTTAATAAAAACTCTCCATTCTAGCTTAAATTACATAAAATATATTTTTTAAATTATAATAGATGCCTGACCATAAAGTAGCAAATTAATAAAAACCCTATATCATTAAATAATCTCTTTCGTATGAAATATTATTATTTATATTGATGATGTTTTACTTATTTTTCTAATCAATAGTCTACTTTCTTAGCATTACAAAAATATTTCTTCTTCTGAAGTGACACCATATCCTCTGTTTGTTACTTTATACTTCAATTATAAAATAATGCTTTAGTAATGGACGTTCAATATTATATAAATATATAATAATTCAATTTATATAACTCACGGCTACTCATTATACGGAACAAAGGGAATAATTCGATTTTAACAATTTGTCTCACAAATCGGCAAGAACAACTTTTTGTCAGGCGTCTATACATCTGTTATAAAAGTTTAGAACTCTGTGTAGCACGATAGTTTCCGAGAGCAGAAACAAAACTTTCTACACTAACAAAAGCTTGATTTCACGACGTATATATTGATCCAGTGTTTTTGAGTGGTAGAGCTGAATGTGGTGCTTAAATTAAACTGTCAATTCTGCCGGTGTGTGCACACAAATCATTTCTTATTTCTGTTTCTTATAGACAAAGAGCTCGTCGTAAAATAACTTTACCTATTCAAAACTCTCTGAAAACCAGAGTACGATTGCAATTCGAGAAATTGTTTTCGTCAAAGTAATAAAACTAACAATGAAATTTTATTAAAAAAAGAAGAGATTTATAAATGTACACATTAAAAGCATCATTTAGTCTGGCTTTAGTAAAATAATATGTTTTTCTTGCTTCTTTTATTCAATTCTTCTTGATGCATCCCGTCAGCAATTAGAAAATATTTGAGTCATAACTTATAATATTATACATAAATCACAAGAAATTGTCAGAAACGTTACAAATGAAGAGAAGTTTACTATGCTACATATAGACATCTTTACCTAAAAATCATTCGTGAAATATTAAGCGACACTTAAATATTTATTAATAAATAAGTAATTATTTCTAGCTCATTAAGACAAATTTAAAAAATTTGCATGAAGAAACATACAACCCTTCTAAAGTAGCAATAAAGTAGAAATGTTTTTTATAAAATTCAATTTTACTAGATTTAAATTACGTTTTTGCGCTGAGTCGCCAATGTTTACGGATATTTGGCGTATGGCCCGATCCATCTGTGTCTTCGAGTGATTTCCACCGGCCAAACATACGATTCGTAATTGCTACGTGTGTCCAGTGCATGTACGTGTTCGTACCGCAAATAATGAATATATTTCGTGCCTGGGGTAATGTGGGTCGGATGGTGGAACACCTCGCCCCCGCGAACTTTAGCCTGCTGGCACTATGCAAATTAGTTGGTACTTGGTACCACGGTAAAGGTAAGTTGTTATTTCGAAAGGAACTTTTTTTTATGGTACGAGGTAGCAATGTAAAGATTTGTTAATTTTAATTTTCAAATAAGTATTGTACCACAGTTTTATTTATGTGAAAACGAACTTGCCTATGTTCGCTATTCGTACTGAAATATTATGTTTAATTCAAAAGCGCTTCGAACGCTGATGGCATCGGTCATGGCCGATTGGATGACTTCAAAGAATGACCGAAAACGTAATACGATGTTAAATATTACGAGACGTGGCCGAAACTTATCTCTTACATGTTACATGGGTTCGTTGGGCACAATCCTGTTTTACGTAGTTTTTAATTTTCTGAAGTTCTATCGAAGCATGCATCAGCCTGAAAGGATTCTCGTGTATTACTTTTCCTATCCTTACTACAACATGCAAAAGAGTCCAAACTACGAAATTACATTTGTGATTCAACTTTTTGGCGGCATATCCACAGCCGTCGTCAATAGTACCGTCGACAGTTTCGTCTCTATACTCCTACTGCAAATATGCGCGCAGCTGATAAATTTACGTATGACACTCAACAATCTGGTCGACGAATTAGCGAAAGGATCTATATCCTCCTCGAGTTTCCAGAAAGGATTGGCGGCGATCACTATGCGTCATGAACATCTCATCAGGTATGCCGTGAAATTTCACACCAGATCACATAAAGCAAAATATATCGAAATGTTTACAGTAATTTATTTATTTTAATATTAATACTGATTATTTGTGATATTTTAAAATAAAGTTCAGTGCCCTTTTCTTATTTATAAGAAAGAGTCTATACAATATCTCATAAACAAAAAGTAGTTCTTGATTCAGATTACGGATATTTGTTAAAGACATATAATATAATTCTAATGATCCTGTGCAAACTAAAGAAAAGTGAGCCACTAGTTTATTTAATAAAAATTGAAATTCGAAATTAAATTATTTTTGTAATTTGTAAACTAAGATAACATTAATTATTCGGTAATGAGTACGAGTATGTATGAATTTTCAAGGAACGCCAAGACAGTTGACGATTGCTACAGTGCGGTATTATTTATACACATGGTGGCCGCTACTTTTCAATTGTGCTTTGAAAGCTTTCAAGTTTTCACGGTAAGTGAATTAATTCGTTTCGCTTTCGTAATTTATGCAACTGAAAAATTCAATGTATGTTAAATGTTTTAATTTTTAGTTTAATTAAGACGCTTCCTTTTACTATAAAATTGAGATATACAAATAAGATCAAAATTTTACCGTACGATTCACTATTATATGTAATTGCTGGACTTGGAAATAGATAGTATTATTTTCAGATAGTATCAAGTCATTTGGAGATATCTGTTATTAAAATGGCCTTCCTCTTGTTTTATGTCATTATGATATTGACACATTTGTATATTTATTGTTATTCTGCTGAAAGACTTTTAACGGAGGTAAGGTAGTTATGTTTATCCGACACGATGTCTTTGTGCAAAACAGAAATGTAATTTTCAGAGTACCAACATGGCATATGGCGCGTACGAATGCAGGTGGTACGATATATCACCGAATGATGCGAAAAATTTAATGTTTATGATATATCGATCTACAATTCCGCTGAGGCTGACGGCTGGAAAATTCGGAACTTTCTCACTAGAAATGTTCGGAACAGTAAGATGGAGCGAACATAAAAACATTTACTTTCTGTGGAACAAAAAGTTTTGGCCTTTAGAGAAACAGACAAAGCACGATCGTTATACTTTTAATTTTTAATAAACCTTTTCTTTTACGCGTGTTTTTCAAATTTATACTTCATGCAGAATTTATAATGTTTCCTTTCGATCACACAAATCGTCAGAGGATACCTTTACAACTTTTAAAACAAAAGTCATGCCCCGCAAAATGGCTCACGATTCTGTGCTGTCAAAAAAATTAAATTACTGCCGTATCTTACACCAAGATTGCTTGACACAATACCGAAGTGGAAAAACAATTTAGAAGTTTATGCAACATAAAACGAAAAGCAAATCTAAAGTGGATTTCAGAATCTCCAGATGCATTCCCGATTGACAATTTGAAACAGAGCTGTTTGAAACTATGAGGGTTAAGAGTTAAAGATATAACAAGACTTAAACACGCGTTAAAACACATCTGGAGAGAATTTCCAAGAGTTGATCGATAAGATATTTTTGTCATTCTCTATATGCCGAATATTATATTTCTTGAATATATTAAATATACTAAGGATATTGGAATAGCGTCTTAATAATTATAACTTGTGAAACAAAAATCAGCAATTATATTTAATTTTTATTCTACAGACGGTGAAAACGTCAATGGGATACCTATCTGCATTGCTGACAATGATGGATTAGAAACTATAATACTGGAATAATATCAAATTAATTACACGTACTCTTAAGTACTATTTATTTTCTATATACTGTGTTAATAGATTTATAAATGTTGCTTGTAATATAATTTTTGCTGGATAACGTGTTACATATGTGGCTGTGCTTATAACTGTACAACATTTTTTATTAATGTGTAAACGAAAAATCAAACTGTAAAGGCAAATTTATCGATCAATTGCAAACGAAACTATCGATTAAAAGACTATGTGAATCAAGTTAAACTAAAATTTTATTCGACAGAAATAAATTGACCTATATCGAGGTCCTCCACCAACCCGCCGCGTTTAATCGACGGTCCTCTTTTCTTTACAGTTTGATTTCTTACATTTTTATTATTTATTTCATTTTTCTTACTTTACAATACACTTATAATATAATAAAAGAAACAATGACATTTTAAATTTAAAAATAAAATATTTGAACAATACCTACAATATTTCTCTCAACGTTATATATGAAATATTCGGTATAAGTACAATAACGCGAAATTCTTTATACGTACTTATAATATTAAAGTTATTATTACTTCGTTAATTTATGTTATCTAATATTCTAAACTTTCGAATTATGTCCCCCTATCCCTGACTATCCGAATCCCTACCTACCCGTATTCCGATCTATAGACCTACTTATCCAATTTCTACCTACCCGTGTTTCAACATAATGAACCTACAAATTTTTAATTAACCGCGACGCGAGGGGTTTGACTTGGGGTTTAACGCGTCCGCGGGATTCAATAGGGGTTTCACTCTCGCACATATGCGAGAATGTATGTATATAGAAGCATAACCCACCCGAATTGTAACAAATCAAAAGAAATCAAAGTATACTTCGTACAGCACCTTACTTAGGTACTCGATCAGAGTGGCCAATATTGACCACTTACCTCGTCGTATTATATACATATATATATTTAGTCCTTCGGTGGGCCAGATTGGACCTACCTTTCGTTGCTCCCGGCCATACAATCTGGTCATTTTGACCAGAGATCAGGAAGGAAGAAAACTCCTTCCATAGTCGGTTATCGTCACCGACAAATATTTCGTACGGTTCGAATTATACGAGTGTCGATCGTATCGCAAAATGCACGACCACGAGAGGTTAATTAAAGAAGAATATTAATTCAAAAAACTTTACTGTATATACGAGTTAAATTTATTTTTACTTTCGTTATTTGTTCAAAGATATTGAACCATCTCTTCGTAACTTTATCTTTGAATTCGAAATTCACGTAGATATAAAATAAAATTTACTTCGCGTTAGAGTGATTTTAATCATATTCCTCGATAAATTAAAATTTATAATATGGATAAAATTAAATAATTAATAATTAATTGAAAAGTTTTCCTGAAAAACCGATCGCGAAAACCGACCGCGAAAACCGACCGCGAAAATACAAAGATGCGTGTGACTGCATGTATTCATGCGAGACGCATCTTGAAAGTACGTATATCACGTATGTACATACACACATACAAAGAATAAATGATGTGAGATCCAGAAAAACGAAACTTCTTTCACGATTCCAACCGATATTATAATTGGATATTATAATAAATTAATAACCGCAAATAAAATATTTAAGTAAGTTAAAATTTCAGTTATCTTGACAAAATATATTAGAATCTCACGTCATATTATTTTATTATACTTTATACATCAATCATTAATGAAAATTGATAGGCTACAAGAGATTAGCTCGACGAATACATCATTAATATTCGCCATATTTCGTTTAAGTTCCGTGATGTAATTCAACGATTCTCAATGGAAAATGAGCTCGACATACCCTGATTTGTAGAGTTTTATGAAATTAAACGAATGTGAAAAAAACTAAGTTGAACTCGTTGAACTTCAGAGGCCCCGCTGTAGGAAAGAATGAATCTCAGATATTCCGGATTGCCTCCGATAGCGGTCATTTCAGCAGGGAGTTAACGACGATCGTTTATCATATCATTGAACCTCGTATATTTTCATTTTTATTAAAATATAAATAATTCTTCCATTATTAGTGTTAATGGGAGAATATTTATTGAGAAGGATATATATAAAATCTTTTCTTTTTTTTGTTAATTTCGCGAATCGACGTCGCGCCCTCGTGCTGAAACCGTTGCTTCCGGGGATCCGAGACAAGAAAACCAGGGATTAACTCTGGTTCTCCAACAAGGTCTCCAATGTTCAACGGGCAACGGGAAATATAAACCACTCCAAAGGTCAAGGTCCTCGCTGCAAGAAAGAATGAATCCCAGATCTTCCGGATTACCTCCGATAGCGGTCATTTCGGCAGGGAGTTAACGACGATCGTTTTTCAAATCATTGAATCTCGTAATTTTCATTTTTATTGAAATAAAAATTATTCTCCCATTTTTAGTGTTAATGGAAGAATATTTATGGAGAAAGATATATATAAAATCTTCTCTTCTTTTTTTTTGTTAATTTCGCGAATCGACGTCGCGCCCTCGTGCCGAAACCGTTGCTTTCGGGGATCCGTGACAAAGAAAGCCAGGGATTAACTCTGGTTCTGCAACGACGCAGCTAACTTTCCACATTGAAAATTGCTTGCACTCCTCTCCGGAGTTTCAATATATTGAATAAAAAAATGTACTTGCTGTTATCATTTGAAACCTATCATTTTAAATTAACATTTATAATCAAATTTATAATAAAATAAACATTTTAAGGCAACGAATATACAAAATAATCTACGATCTACAATCTATGAACTATGAAATGCACTGTAAAAAGGTATGTAAAATTACATACATAATAAGTATAGCGATTACACTATTAATAACGGAATTATATAAATGTACATACTTTTTCCAAAAATATTTTTTACACTTTATTGTGTAAATACTTCTTTATACATAATGAAAAATTACAAAAAAAATGTAAACTTTACACAATCAAAAGCAAGCAGTTTACTCATTATATAAGACAATAATTTTAATCACAAGAAGTAAATTTACTGACGTATGTAAATATACACCTTTACTAGATGGTCCGAACATTACTATAATACTTGTAATTTAACATGTTATTTTTTTACAGTGTGTATATTCGTTGCCGTAATAAAAAAGTTGCTGACTCACCGACCTGATGCGCAGCAGCGGAGTTTTACTACGTTGATCCTGTAACATGCAATTATAAAGTTCATATTAAAACAGAGTATTCAAGAAAATGAATATTAAAGAAAATAATTTTTAAATTATTGAAAATAAACAAGAGGAAGATTAATTTTATACAAAAGAAAAAATATTTACCCTAAAGTTGCTCCGCCGGTGCCTGATGCCTTCCCCAGGCCTCCTCCTCCACTCAGGTTGTCTTCTTGCACACTCGCGAAAACACAAAGATCGTTCGCGCGATTTTACACTTTGAAAGTCTTTCGTTCAATTACACAAACGGCACTCCCGAACGCGACGCGACACGACGAATCGCCGCGCGCGGTTGCGATTCGTTTAAACTGGCGAAATAATAGCGAAATTATTCGTCAGTCCTCGAAAGTTCGTGCTGAAATGAACAGAATCAATTAATAAATGTGCTCTCTAAAAGTCAGTCGGTGGATTATCACTGAAAGCAGTGAATCGATTCGTTATTTTCAATAATAATCCACCGATTAACTTTCAGAGAGTGTCAGGCCTGGTTTCTCATTTTCTGGTTAACTGTTAATATGGCAGTTACTCGACTCTCTATGCTTTTCTATATTATTATCTAAGAAGAGACAGAGAATCGATTAAACTATGGTCAACAGTTTATTAGAAACTGAAAAATCGGGCCCAAATAGTGCAATGGGTACCTTTGGTTGTCCCGTTTTTAGAGTATGTACTCTCTAAAATCAATCGATGGATTATCACTGAAAACAGTGAATATTCACTGATTCAGTGATAATGCACTGATTGATTTTTAGAGAGTAACTCTTCGGGGTACTTAAGCCCCTCCACCACGACAAGGTAGTACCCGAGGAGGGGATTATCGACAAAAAACCGTGCAATTACATATGTGTATACTTAGAAAAATGAATATTGAGTGAACATAAATTAGGTTTGCTATTCAATGCACAACGTGAGAGATATTCCGAGTTCGATCGTTAAAAAAGGTATTAGCGCTCGTGGATATATCGAACCTAACTAATAATACATATATGTAATTCCCTTATGGAACTTCTACTTTAAATTACGCGTGATACTAATCAAAATTAGTAATATTACTAATCAAAAAAGACATATTGCCAGCCATCATGCGAATATATTTACTTCTGTCTTTACCACAAATAAACGATTTTTAAGCTGATATTCATAATACGTTCTTATATTTTAAACCGTTTTAAGTATAATCATAAGATGTTATAAACCTGTCACAAGAGCTGTATTAGCGAATTAAAATTTAAAAAGGTCTTGAAATAACAACGGATCATCAATATCGTCCTCTCTTCTTAATGACGTACATATTCTAATTTATTTATACGTCAGTAACACCTCTTGGCAAATTTTGTATAACTGCTAGAAATTACACTGATCGATATTAATAAATAGCAACTTGCTTACAGTCGAAAAGCAAGTGCTGCATTAACGGCATTTCATCCAGCGTATGGTGATTACGTACTGGTCATGATACTATATTGATTGTTATTCGAAAGGGTTTGCAGAAGTACTCACAGATGGAAGCGGTTCGATCCTTCGTGTACTGAGCAAGCGCACAATCAGGCGGTTTGGTATAATCACTAACAACGACTCAGTTAAACGATAATTTTTGCATCGTGAACTGCAATGAGCGTAAACGAAGGTAGAATATCTTTAAAAAAAATAGTAGAAAGTTCGCAATACGATATTCTACTAAAATAATAAACAAGTGCGTCGTGTGAAATAGTTACGTATTACAGTATCACGTAAAATTTACATGCTAAATTACTCGTGTGTTAATAAAAACTCTCCATTCTATCTTAAATTACATAAAATATATTTTTTAAATTATGATAGATGCCTGACCATAAAGTAGCAAATTAATAAAAACCCTATATCATTAAATAATCTCTTCCGTATGAAATATTATTTATATTGATGATGTTTTACTTATTTTTCTAATCAACAGTCAATTGTAACTAGTCATATTGTTTTACATTACAATTTATTTTTACTTTCTTAGCATTACAAAAATATTTCTTCTTCTGAAGTGACACCATATCCTCTGTTTGGTACTTTGTACTTCAATTATGGAATAGTACTTTAGTAATGGACGTTCAATATTATATAAATATATAATAATTTAATTGACATAACTCACGGCTACTCATCATACAGAACAAAAGGAATAATTCGCTTTTAACAATTTGTCTGAAAAATCCGCAAGAACAACTTTTTGTCAGGCGTCTATACATCTGTTATAAAAGTTTGGAACTTTGTGTAGCACGATATTTTCCGAGAACAGAAACAAAACTTTCTACGCTAACAAAAGCCTGCTTTCTCGACGTATAGATTGATCCAGTGTTTTTGAGTGGTAGAGTTGACTGTGGTGCTTAAATTAAACTGTCAATTCAGCTGACGTGTGCACACGAATCATATCTTTTCTTTTCATTTCTCTTTCTTATAGACAAAGCTGGTCGTAAAAAAAACTTAAACTTTCCAAACCCTCCGAAAACCGAAGTACGATTGCAATTCGAGAAATCGTTTTCGTCAAAGTAATAAAAATAATAACGAAATTTTATTGAAGAAGAAGACATTTATAAATGTCATTGTAAACATTAAAAGCATTATGTAGTTTGGCTTTAGTGAAATAATATGTGTTTCTTGCTTCTTTTATTCAATTCTTCTTGATGTATGCCCTCAGCAATTCTAAAATATATTAGTTATAACTTATAATATTATACATAATCCACAAAAAATGGTCAAAAGTATTACAAATGAAGAGAATTTTACTATGCTACATATAGATATCTTTACCTAAAAAACATTCGTGAAATATTAAACGTTTTTTAAATTTATTAATAAATAACTAATTATTTCTGGCTCATTAAAACACATTTAAAAAATGTCCCTTGTAAATTAGCAATACAGTAGAAATGTTCTTTATAAAATTCAATTTCATTAGATTTAAATTACATCTTTTCGCTGAGCCGCCAGTGTTTGCGGGTATTAGGCGTATGGCCCGATCCATCTGTGCCTTTCAGTGATTTCCACCGGCCAAACATAAGATTCATAATTGCTGCGTGTACCCTGTTCATGTACGTGTTCGTGCCGCAAATAACGAATATGTTTCTTGCCTGGGGTAATGTGGCTCGGATGGTGGAAAGCCTCGCCCCCGCGAACTTGAGCCTGCTGGCACTATGCAAATTAGTCGGCACTTGGTACCACGGTGAAAGTAAGTCATTATTTCGAAAGTAAGTTTCTTTGTGGTACGAGGTATAAATGTACAGATTTGTTAATTTTAATTTTGAAAAAGTATCGCACAACAGTTTTGTTCATGTAAAAATGAACTCGCCTATGTCCACTATTCGTATTAACATATTATGTTTAATTCGGCAGCGCTTCGAACACTGATGACATCGGTCATGACCGATTGGATGACTTCAAAGAATGACCGGAAACGAAATACAATGTTAAATATTACGAGACGTGGCCGACACCTATCTTTTGCGTGTTACATGGGCTCGTTGGGCACATACCTGTCTTACCTAGGTCTTAATTTCCTGAAGTTCTATCGTAGTATGCATCAACCTGAACGGATTCTCGTGTATCACTTTTCCTACCCTTACTACAACATGCAAAAGAGTCCAAACTACGAAATTACATTTGTGATTCAACTTTTTGGCGGGATGTACACGGTCTTCGTCAATAGTACCGTCGACAGTTTCGTCTCTCTACTCCTACTGCAAATATGCGCACAGCTGATAAATTTACGTACGACGCTCAACAATCTGGTCGACGAATTAGCGGAAGGATCTATATCCTCCTCGAGTTTCCAGAAAGGATTGGCCGCGATCACTATGCGTCATGAACATCTCATCAGGTATGCCGTGAAATTTCACATCAGATCACATAAAGCAAAATATTTCGAAATGTTTACAGTAATTTATTTATTTTAATATTAATATTGATTATTTATGATATTTTAAAATAAACTGTTCTTTTATTATTTATAAGAAAGGGTCTATACATTATCTCATAAACAAAAAGTAGTTCTTGATTCAGATTACGGATATTTGTTAAAGACGTATAATATAATTCTAATGATCCTATGCAAACTAAAGAAAAGTGAGCCGCCAGTTTATTTAATAAAAATTGAAATTCGAAATTAAATTATTTATGTAATTTGTAAATTAAGATAACATTAATTACTCGGTAATGAGTACGAGTATGTATGAATTTTCAAGGACCGCCAAGACAGTTGATGATTGCTACAGTGCGGTATTATTTATACACATGTTTGCCGCTACCTTTCAGTTGTGTATTGAATGCTTTCAAGTTTTCACGGTAAGTGAGATAATTTGTTTCGTTTCGATTTCGTAATTAATGCAACAGAAAAATTCAATGTATGTTAAATGCTTTAACTTTTAGTTTAATTATGACGCGTTCTTTTACTTAAAAATTCAGATATAAGATCAAACGTTTACAGTTCGATTAATTATTGTAAGCAATTGCTGGACGTAAAAATAGAGTTTCATTTTCAGATAATAACAGGTCATTTGGAGCTGTCCATTATCAAAATGTCTTTCCTTACGTTTTATGTCGTTCTTGTATTGACACATGTGTATATTTACTGTTATTCTGCTGAAAGACTTTCAACGGAGGTAAAGTAGTTCTGCTTATCAGACACGATGTCTCTGTACGTAACAGAAATGTAATTTTCAGAGTACCAACATGGCATATGGCGCGTACGAATGCAGGTGGTACGATATATCACCGAATGATGCGAAAAATTTAATGTTTATGACATATCGATCTACAATTCCGCTTAGGCTGACGGCTGGAAAATTCGGAACTTTCTCACTAGAAATGTTCGGAACTGTAAGATAGAGCAAACATAAAAACATTTATGTTTCTGTGGGACAGAAAGTTTCGGCCTATAGAGAAACAGACGAAGCACGATCGTAACACTTTCAATTTCTAATAAAATTGTTATTTTTCGCGTGTTTTTCAAATTTATACTTCATGCAGAATTCAAAATATTCCAATTCGATCACACAAATTGTCAGAGGATACCTTGACAACTTTTAAAACAAAGCTGACGCCCTGCAGAATGGCTCAAGATTCTGCGCTGTCATAAAAATTAAATTACTGTCGTATCTCACACCAAGATTGCTTGGCACAATACCGAAATGAAAAAAACAATTTAGAAGTTTATGCAATATAAATCGAAAAGCATATCTAAAGTGGATTTCAGAATCTCCAGATTCATTCCCAATTGACAATTTGAAACAGAGCTGCTTGAAACTATGAGGGTAAAGAGTTAAAGATATGACAAGACTTGAACACGCGTTAAAACACATCTCGAGAGAATTTTCAAGAGTTGATCGATAAGACATGTTTTGTCATTCTCTACATGCTGAATATTATATTTCTTGAATATATTATATATACTAAGGATATTAGAATAACACCTTAATAATTATACACGTGTATACACATAATAAAAATAACCTGTGAAACAAAAATCAGCAATTATATATTTTTTTTATTCTACAGACGGTGAAAACGTCAATGGGATACCTATCTGTATTGCTGACAATGATGGATTAGAAACAACTATAATACTGAAGTAATATCAAATTAATTGCACGTACTCCTAATTAGTGTTTTCTATATACTGTGTTAATAGATTTATAAATGTTGCCTGTAATATAATTTTTACTGGATAAATATATGCTTTTGTGCAATAAAACACATTATTTAGTTCTTATCTTTTTGCGGTTAACTTAATTTTTAAATCAAGAATATAATGTAATATTAAAAAAAGAAAAACAATATTTGTGACCTTCTTCCGTCATGGATTGACGAAAGACCCAGGTTTGATCCCAGGCTGAAGTACTACTTTTCACAATAAAATTTTTTTCAGTGACGGAAGAGGGGATTGTATTAAATGCTAAGTAAAGGATAAAAGATAATTAAAATCAATCAACCATTTAAAATATGTGAATTCACTGACGACAATGTTTCACCTAACAAAACTGTGTTGTATAACCAAAAGTAACGTCGCGCAGAACAGGCTGGAAAAACTGTATATAAATTCACGCATTATATAAAACTATTGGACTACTTACATCTTGCCCGGACCATATTAGCTCTTTTATTATAATATATATTATAATAATATAAATAATAATTTAAAAAAATTTCGCACTGTAAACCTCAAAAACTATCAACAAAGATAAAATTTTGGAAATAAAATAGTAAAAATGTTTGCACAAGCTGTTGAAATATAAGCACATAAAACATAATCAGTGATAACTGCGTATAAATGCGTTTTCAATATTTTCTTAATTTTATTTTCGTCATACTGCTTTACCGTACATTTTATTTTATTTTTATTTTATAACCATTAAAAAATATTTCATTTTTTGAAGTAGCTATTCTTTATGCGTGTAATTTAATATGTTGTTTATTGAACATATTTAGTAAGAAAGTATGCGCAACGAATATATAATAATATCTTCAAAATTATTGTAATTAATAAATGTTTTAATTGTTTTATTAAAATACTGCAAAAATTGGCAAAAGACAACTTAATTTTTTTATGAGGAGTCTATAGATCTCTGATAGAAGTTTGCAACTTCCGACAGTCCACGAAAGTTTGCGAGAATAGGAATGGAACTTGGACCACCAGCAAAAAAAGTATTTTGGACGAAGAATTGAGGTGTTTTTCGGTGGCGGAGTTGGACACGGTGCATGAAATATATGGTTTGTTACGAATCGTTCTTTTTCTACAAGGTGGCACTTCGTAACTCTAGTTCAATTCTGCTAAAAAAAATCTATTTTTAGCCTCTCATCCTGAAAACCGAACTAGTTAAATCTTTTTTTTTCATAAAAATCCAATGTTTCTAAAGTTTACCGTCTCGGCCTTTTCTAATCTTCTTTTGATAAATATTTCGCTTATCGTTTCATCTCATTTAACTTCTGATTCCGTCCAAATTTTGTCATAAAGTTTAATTACATGTCCAAAGTTTGTCATAAAGTTTAATAACATGAAGTATAATTTATTTCAAAGTACTGAGAGTTCAGAAACGATCGAAATGTTATTAAATATTACTAATTAAAAAAAAGAAATATTGCCAGCCATCATGCGAATATATGTACTTTTGTCTTTACCACAAATAAATAATATTGAAATTGGTATTCATTGTTTGTTCTTATATTTAAAACCGCTTTAAATATAATTATAAGATGTTATAAACCAGTCATAAGAGCTGTATTAGCAACTCAAAACTTAAGACGGTCTTTTTAATGACGTACATATTCTAATTCATTTTTACATCAGTAACACCTCTTTGCAAATTTTGTATAACTGCTGGAAATTACAATGGTCGATATTCATAAATGGCAGGCAAATTGCTTGCAGTAAAAAATAAGTTTATTTATGATATTTGATTCAATACACGGTAGTTACTTATATCATTATTGGATATTTTCCGCGAGGATATGTAGAAGTAGGTACTCACAGATTATAGCGGTTCGATCCTTCGTGTACTGAGCAAGCGCAAGCCAGACCGTTTGACATAATCGCGACGAACGACTCAGTTAAACGATAATTTTCGTCCCGTGAACTGCAATGAACGTGAAAGAAGGTAGAATGTATCTCGAGAAAATAACCGAATGTACCACGAAATTCTAAAAATAATAAATAAGTGCATCGTGTAAAATAGTCATATAATACAACAATAGTGAACTCACAACCATTCGTGTATTAATAAGAACTCTTCATTTTGATTTAAATTCTATAAAATGTTTTCCAAAACGTATAATTATAACTAAATTATTATGTGTAAAGTATCAAATTAATGGAGACTGCGTAAAATAATTTCTTTGGCATATTATTATTCATTTGGAAATTATAGCATATTTTTCATTATTCAACTAGTAATGATTAGTGTTCAATATTTTTGCAAATTTAATCAATCATATTATTTTACACTGTAATATTTATCTTTATTTTCTTCTCATTACAAAGATATTTCTCTCTGAGAGTGTCTATATATTCTGTTTGTTTCTCAATACGTTGTTTATGAAATTGTGTTTGAGAAAGGCATAAATATACATTAATTCAATTTACTCAACTAACGCAAGCAAGCGCGGTTAGTGGTCAAATAAAGAGAATAAATCGCTTCTAACAATTTTTCTCTGCAAAAATAATTTTTTGTCAAGCGTCTATACATCTGTCGTAAAAGTTTGGAACTTTGGATTGAACGAAAGTTTCTGGGAACAGACACAAAACTTTCTATGGTAACAAATGCTTGCTTTCGCGACGTGGAGATTGATTCAAAGTATTTTTGAGTGAGAGAGTTGAACATGGTGCTTAAATTCAACGATTAATTCTGTTAATGTGTGCGAGGATTATTTCTCATTTTTCTTCGTTATAAACAAAAAGTTGGTGGCAAAACTTAACTATTAAAATTATAAAAAGCAAGTTCTTTCCGTCAGAATTATAACACAAGATCTTAAAAAGGAGAAGAATCTTTTAAAGAGATAAATATTATCACTAAGAACACTAGAAATTTTTAGTTAAGCTTTAGCAAAATAATACATGTTACTTTTTACTTCCATTATTCATTTCTCATTGACATTTCCACTGAGAAATTTTAGAAAAAATTAATTCAACTTGTAATATTCCATAAGAAACATTACAAATGAAGTCAATTTTATTATGAGTGCTATTTATATAGATATCTTCAACTAGAATCGTATTCGTAAGATAATAATAAGAGAATTCAATTCCACATTTACATAATATGAAGTGTCCTCAAATTTATTAAAAACAAATGATTAAGTTTACTAAGTCAGTAAAACAAATTATAAAAATAACATAAAGGAATAACATTTCTTCTAAATTGACAATAAGCAGAAATATTTTTTATAAAGTGCGATTTTGTGATTAGTTTTAAATTACTGCTTCTAAATTAGCAATAAGCAGAAATATTCTTCATAAATTTTGATTTTATGATTAGATATAAATTACGCCTTTTCGCTGTGTCGCCAATGTTTACGAATATGTGGCGTATGGCCCGATCCATTTGTGCCTTCGAGTGGTTCCTATCGATTAAATATCAGATTCATACTCGTTACGTGTATCCTATGCCTTTACGTGTTTCTGCCGCAACTGATGAATATGATTCTTGCTTGGGGAAATTTAACTCGCGTGGTGGAATACATGGTTTCCGTAAACTACTGTTTGATGGGAATATGCAAATTACTCAGCACTTGGTATTACGGTGACGGTAAGTTTACATTTTGAACACAAGATATATCGACATTTTAGAAATAAAACTTAGAGATGTGAAAATTCGTTATTTGATTTCAAAACCAATTGCTTTTTACACAACATTATTTATATAAAATCGGCATTGCCCATGTATACTATTCGTATTAACACATGATTTAACCCGAAAGCGCTTCGCATGCTGATGACATCGGTCATGAACAATTGGATGACTTCAAAGAATGACCGGGAACGAAATACAATGTTAAAAGTTACAAGACGTGGAAGAAACTTACTTCTTAGATGTTACATGGCCGCAGGGTGCACATTCATATGTTACCTATATTTCAATTTTCTGAAGTTCTATCAAAGTATGCATCAACCTGTACGGAGTCTCGTGTATCAGTTTTCCTATCCTTATTTTCAAAAGAGTCCGAACTACGAAATCACGTTTGTGATTCAACTTTTTGGTGGCTTATGCGGAGGCTTTGTCAACACTACCGTCGACAGTTTCATCTCTATACTCACACTGCAAACATGCGGACAGCTGATAAATTTACGATTGGCGCTCAACAATCTGGTCGACGAATTAGCTAAAGGATCTATATCTTCCTCGAGATTTAAGAAAGGATTAGCCGCGATCACTATGCGTCACGAACTTCTTATCAGGTATACTTAGAAATCATTAATAGTAAATATATCTAAATATTTTTATCAATTCATTCATGAGATATTGTTATTGATTCTTTATGATATTTTGAAATTAAGTTCAATGCTTTTGTCTTTTATTCTAATTATGAGAAATGGTATTTACAATTTTTCCCATAAACAAAAAGTATTTCTCGGCTCAGGTATTTTTGAAGATGATAATACAATTTTAAAGACTATGTAAATTTTACATCTTGAAAATTATTATACTTAAATGTGAACAATAAAGAAGTAAGATTTAAAAAGTGACCAGTTTATTTCACAAAAATTGAGAAATTAGCATTTAAAAAATTGAATTAATTTTTTTTAAATTAAAACGATCATAGTTATTCGTTAATAAATATAAAATGCATGAATGTTTAAGGAACACCAAGATAGTTGACGACTGCTACAGCATAGTGTTATTCATACATATGGTAGCCGCTACTTTTCAGCTGTGTTTTGTAAGCTTTCAAGTCTTCACGGTAAATAATATGATTTATATGGTTTTTTCTGTAATTTATGCAAAAAATATATTAAATATATTTTATCAGTAATAATTACATCCTATGTTCCTCGATTATTATACACTTATATTATACACTTATTATACTTATCTATTTCTACTTGTAAGTTTTTCTTATTTCTAACTATTGTGTTTTTTAATTTCTAACAGTTGTATTGTTATTTTCAGATAGTAAAAAATCATATCGATTTACCTTTTAGCAAAATAGCATTCCTCACGTTCTATGTCTCGGCTGTCTTGTCGCATTTATACATGTATTGTTACTCTGCTGAAAGACTTTTAACGGAGGTAAGGTAGTTATAGTATTTTAAACGCGATTTCTCTGTACTAAACAGAAATAATATGTAATTTTTAGAGCACCAACTTGGTGTATGGCATGTATGAATGTAAGTGGTACGATATATCGCCGAAAGACGCTAAAGATTTAATGTTCATTGTGTACCGATCTACAATTTCGCTTAAATTAACAGCTGGAAAATTCGGAACGTTTTCATTAGAATTGTTCGAAACAGTAAGTTATCTAACAAATTTTATTTTTTGTGCAACAATGAGTCAAATTTTTAGCTTACAGAGACTAATCTATACTTCATATTGAATCTAAAAATGTTCCCTTTTTGTCACTGTAATTAAAAGAGAGGATACTTTTACAACTTTTACATTAAAATTGAGCTTTTAGATAAAACATAGTTTTGCAAAACGGCTCAAGATTCTACGCTACCAGATATGTCAAAAAAACACGGTTGCATTTTACGCCAAATTTACTTGGCATAACTTGGCAAGGTGAAAAAATATCTTCAAAGTTCACATAGAATAAAAGAGCGTTTTCTAAAGTAGACTTCAGAATCTCCAGATGCAACATTGATGGAGACTATTTGAAACAAAACTACTTAAAACTATGAGAAAAAAGTGAAAGGCTCGGTGTTTTAAAATTCGTTTGTGGAAGGAACTTCTAATTATTAATTAACAAAACTTGTTTTGTCACTCTTTGTATGATGGAATAGTGGACTTTTTAAATATGTTATATGTACGAAGTGTATTAGAATAATATCATAATCATTATAATTTATGTGACAAAATTAGATAATGAAATATAATTAATTTCTTTACAGACAGTGAAAACGTCAATAGGATACGTATCTGCATTGCTGACGTTGACAAATTAAAGAGTATAATGCTGAAATAATGTTAAATTAATAGTACACGCTTGATTTCTTTATATACTATGTTATTAAATTTATACATATTACCTGTAACGCAACTTTTGCTGGCTAAATATATGTTCTTGTGCAACAAAGCAAATTATTTATTTATTATCTTTCAGCGACGTAACTTAATTGTTTAATTAAGAAGTTAATGTAATATTAAAAAAGAAAACAATATTCATCTTATCTCGTCATGGATTATGGGAGATCTCAGGTTTTAATCTTGAGGTGATATTTTTCGCAATAAGATTTCTTTAGAGTGACGGGAGGGAGAATTGTATTAAACGTTAAGTACAGAATAAAAAATAATTAAAATTGTACACCAATTTAAAATATGTGAATTTACTGACGGCAATGTTCCACCTAACAAAACTGTGTTGTATGACCGAAAGTAACGGCGCGGTGCGCAGGCCGAGTTGAAAGAACGGTATATAAATTCACACATTATATAAAACTATTGGGCTACTTACACTTTGCTAACTATACTCTGTGCGTGCCATTTAATATGTTATTCATTAAAATATTTATTAACATGTTTAGTAAAAAAGTGTGCACAACAAATATATAATAATATCTTCAAAAGTAACGACTGTTTATCATATAAAGAAAAAGTGTAATTAATAAATGCTTTAATTGTTTTATGAAAATATTGCAAACATTTGCAAAAGAGAACTTAAATTTTTTACAAGGAGTTTATAGATCTCTGATAAGAGTTTACAACCTTTGACAGTCCACGAAAGTTTGCGAGAATACGAATAAAACTTTGTACACTAGCAAAAAAGCATTTCGGACGACGGATTTACGGTGTTTTTGGTGGCGAAGTTAGACGCGGTGCACGAAATATATGGTTTATTACGAATCGTTGTTTTTCTACAGGTTGGCATTTTGTAATTCTAGTTCAGTTCTGCTAAAAAAAATCTACTTTTAGTCATCCAGAGAACCCAACTAGTTAAATCATTTTTTCCCCAAAAATTCAATCCAATGTTTCGAACGTTTACCGTATCGGTATTTTCTAATCTCCTATTGATAAATATTTCTGCTTATCGTTTCATCTCATCTAACTTCTGATTCCGTCCAAATTTTGTCATAAAGTTTAATTATATGTAGTATAATGTATTTTAATGTAGTGAGAGTTCAGAAACGATCCAAATGCCATTCAATATTATTAATTTAAAAAAGACATATTGTCAGCCATCATGCAAATGTATTTACTTCTGTCTTTACCACAAATAAATAATATTTAATTTAGTATTCGTAGTTCGTAATTATATTTAAAACCGTTTTAAGTATAATCATAAGATGTTATAAACCAGTCACGAGAGCTGCATTAGCAACTTAAAACTTAAGGCAGTCTTGAAATAAGATCGGACTATAAATATCGTCCTTTCTTCTTAATAACATACTTATTCTAATTTATTTTTACGCCAGTAACACCTCTTTGCAAATTTTGTATAACTGCTGGAAATTACCGAAGCGTATATTCTTTTCTAACTAAATAATTTTTCTTGAACACCACAACCTTGTCTAAGCTCTAAGCCTCTTTTTTATAATTACGTGATTTTTATCATACGAGCCATTGTTATTTATTAATAATATCACTATTGAACGTTAACCGCAAGGGTTTACAGAAATACTCACAGATGGTAGTAGTTCAATCCTTTGTGTACTGAGCAAGCGCAAGCCAGACGGTTTGACATAATCACGAAGAACGACTCAGTTAAACGATAATTTTCGTTCCGCGAACTGCAATGAACGTCAAAGAAGGTACAATATATCTCGAGAAAATAACCGAAAAGACCACGACATTTTACTAAAAATAATAAACAAGTGCATCTTGTAAAATAGTTATATAATACAGTAATAGAAAACTAACAACCATTCGTGTATTAATAAGAAATCTTAATTTTGACTTAAATTCTACAAAATATGTATTTTAAAAAGAATAATTATAATTAAATTAATGTCTGTAAAGTATCAAATTAATGGAGACGCTATATTAGACAATACTTTCTTTGGTATATTATTATTCATTTGGAAATTATAGCATATTTTTCATTATTCAACTAGTAATGATTAGTGTTCAATATTTTTGCAAATTTAATTAATACATTGTAATATTTATCTTTATTTTCTTCTCATTAGAAAGATATTTCTTCTTTTAAAGTGACTATATATTTTGCTTGTTCCTCAATACGTTTACGAAATAATTTTTGAGTGAGGTACATTTAATATTAATTTACATAGCTAACGGTTACTCATTAAATAAGGAGAATAAATCCTTTTTAACAATTTGTCTCTACAAGAATAATTTTTTGTCAGGCGTCTATACCTCTGTCGTAAAAGTTTGGAACTTTGAGTTGAATGAAAGTTTCTCAGAACAGATAGAAAACTGTCTATGATAATAAAAACTTGCTTTCTCGACGTAGAGATTGATTCAAAGTATTCTTGAGTGATAGAGTTGAACATAGTGCTTAAATTCAACGATTAATTCTGTTAATATGTGCGAGAATTATTTCTCATTTTTCTCCGTTATAAACAAAAGGTTTGTGGCAAAATTTAACTCTGAAAAGTATAAAAAGCAAGTTCTTTTCGTCAGAATTATAACATAAAATCTTAAAAAAGAAGAAAAATCTTTTAGAGATAAATATTACTAAAATATCACTAAAAACACTGTAAATTTTTAGTTTAGCTTCAGCAAAGTAATACGTATTATTTTTTACTTCCGTTATTCATCTCTCTTTGACATTTCCACTAAGAACTTCCAGGAAATATTAATTTAACTTGTAATATTCCATAAGAAATATTACAAATAAAGTGACTTTTATTATGACTGCTATTTATATAGATATCTTTAACTAGAATCGTATTTGTGAAATAATAATAAGTGAATTCAATTTCGACATTTATATAATATGTAGTTAATGATTAGTTTTAAATTACCGCTTCTAAATTAGCAACAAGCAGAAATATTCTTTATAAATTTCAATTTTATGATTAGATATAAATTACGCCTTTTCGCTGTGTCGCCAATGTTTACGAATATTAGGCGTATGGCCCGATCCATTTGTGCCTTCGAGTGGTTTCCATCGATTAAATATTAGATTCATACTCGTTACGTGTATCCTATGCCTTTACGTGTTTCTGCCGCAACTGACGAATATGATTCTTGCTTGGGGAAATTTAACTCGCATGGTGGAAAACATGGTTTCCGCAAACTACTGCTTGATGGGAATATGCAAATTAATCAGTACTTGGTATCACGGTGACAGTAAGTTTACATTTTGAACACAAGATATATTGACATTTTAGAAATAAAACTTAGAGATGTGAAAATTCGTTATTTGATTTCAAAACCAATTGCTTTCTTTATACAACATTATTTGTATAAAATCGGCTTTGTCCATGTATACTGTTCGTATTGACACGTGATTAATCCGAAAGAGCTTCGCATACTGATGACATCGGTCATGACCGATTGGATGACTTCAAAGAATGACCGGGAACGAAATACAATGTTAAATATTACGAGACGTGGCCGAAACTTATCTCTTACATGTTACATGGGTTCGTTGAGCACAGTCCTGTTTTACTTAGTTTTTAATTTTCTGAAGTTCTATCGAAGTATGCATCAACCTGCACGGAGTCTCGTGTATCGCATTTCCTATCCTTACTACAACATGCAAAAGAGTCCAAACTACGAAATTACTTTTGCGATTCAACTTTTTGGCGGCATATCCACAGCCGCCGTCAATAGTACCGTCGACAGTTTCGTTTCTATACTCTTACTGCATATATGCGCACAGCTGATAAATTTACGATTGGCGCTCAGCAATCTGGTCGACGAATTAGCTAAAGGATCTATATCCTCCTCGAGATTTAAGAAAGGATTAGCCGCGATCACTATGCGTCACGAACTTCTTATCAGGTATACTTAGAAATCATTAATAGTAAATATATCTAAATATTTTTAGCAGTTTATTCATGAGATATTATTATTGATTATTTACGATATTTTAAAATAATGTTGAATGTTTTTCTCTTTTATTGTAATTATAAGAAATGGTATTTACAATTTTTCCCATAAACAAAAAGTATTTCTTGACTCAGGTATTTTTGAAGATAATAATATGATTCTAAGACTGTATAAATTTTACATCTTGAAAATTATTATACTTAAATGTGAACAGTAAAGAAGTAAGATTTAAAAAGTGACGAGTTTATATTACAAAAATTGAAAAATTAATTTTTTTAAATTGAATTAATTTTTTTAAATTAAAACGATCATAGTTATTCGTTAATAAATATAAACTGCTTAAATATTTAAGGAACGCCAAGACAGTTGACGACTGCTACAGCACAGTGTTATTCATACATATGGTGGCCGCTACTTTTCAGCTGTGTTTTGTAAGCTTTCAAGTCTGCACGGTAAATGATATGATTTCTATTGTTTTTTTCTGCAATTTATGCAACAAAAAATATATTGAATATATTTTATCAGTAATAGTTACATCCTACGTAAACTAAAAGTTTTTCGGTACATATGATTATTTTACACAATTGTTGAATATAAGAAAAACTTGCAATAAGAAATAGATAAGTATTATTTTCAGATGATAAAAAATCATATCGATGTACCGTTTAGCAAAATAGCATTCCTCACGTTGTATGTCTTTGTTGTCTTGACGCATTTATATATATATTGTTACTCTGCTGAAAGACTTTTAACGGAGGTAAGGCAGTCATAGTATTGTAAACGCGATTTCTCTGTACAAAACAGAAATAATATATAATTTTTAGAGCACCAGTTTGGTGTATGGCATGTATGAATGCAAGTGGTACGATATATCGGCGAAAGACGTTAAGGACTTAATGTTCATTGTGTATCGATCTACAGTTCCACTTAAATTAACAGCTGGAAAATTCGGAACGTTTTCATTAGAAATGTTCGAAACAGTAAGATATCTAACGAATTTTATTTTTCGCGCAACAAAGAGTCTAATTTTTAGCTGGTAAAGAGTAATCTATGTGAATTCTTTAAAGCTTCATATTGAAAATGTTTCCTTCTGGCCACTGTAATTAAAAGAGAAGATACTTTTACAACTTTTAAAATACCTTAGAATCGCCGGTTGAGTCATTTAACAATTTTCCTATTGGTTGATTATGTACTGGCGACATTAACCCTTCATTCTTTTTAAAATAAAATTGAGAACTGTCACATATGTATGCCAGAACTGTCACATATGTCATAAAATACGGTTGTATTTTACGCTAAATTTATTTGGCACAGCTTAGCGATATGGAAAAATGTCTATAAAGAATTCACATAGAATGAAAAAGCATTTCTAATGTAGACTTCGGAGTCTCCAAATGCAATCTCGATGGACTTTTTGAAAAAAAAATTACTTAAAACTATGGAAAAAAAGTTAGAAACTCCATGTTTTAAAACTTGTTTGTGGCTAGAACTTCCAATTATTAATTAACAAGAGTTGTTTTGTCACTTTGTATACTTAATATTGTGCTTCTTAAATATGTTATACGAACAAAATATATTAGAATAATATCATAATCATTATAATTTATGAGACACAAATTAGATATTGAAATAGAATTAATTTCTTTACAGACAGTGAAAACGTCAATGGGATACGTATCTGCATTGCTGACATTGACAGATTAAAGAGTATAATGCTGAAATAATGCTAAGTTAATTGCGCTTGATTTTTGTTCGTATACTGTGTCAATAAGTTTATACATATTATCTGTAAACATTTGCTGGCTAAATATATGTTTTTCTGCAACAAAGCAAATCATTTATTTACCATTCTTTGTCATCATGACTTAATTTCTGAAATAAGAAGATAATGCTATATCAAGAAGGAAAAACAGTATTAGCTATTTGGTGTATCGGAAAGTTCCGTCCGTTTAGCGGCGAATAGCCATAGCTAGAACTGTCGGTAACTCTAATGTATAAACAAAGCTTTATTTTTTAGTTTTGACATCCGTCAATAAATTTCAGTACATAAAGGTATACGTTTGCATCAATAACATTGTTTTTTGTTGCATCAAAAATGTCGAAATTTGCGCTAAATAAGCGTCGTTTGCGCAAAGTGTTAATCTTTTGCTTCAATTGGAAGAAAACTGCAGGTGAAGCTCATCGAATAATTGTAGAAATTTATGGTGATAGTGCTCCTTTCGATGAAACCTGCAGAAAATGGTTTCGACGCTTTAAAAGCGGTGACTTTGATGTGGAGGACAAAGAGCGTTCTGGACGGCCAAGAGTATTCGAAGACGAAGAATTGCAGGCATTGGTCGACAAAGATCCATGGTCAAACGCAAAATCAACTTGCAGAAACATTAAATTGTGCACAATCTGTTATTTTCGATCGTTTAAAAGTCTTGTGAAAGGTCTACAAGGCAGGTAAATGGATTCCATATGAACTAAAGCCAAGAGACATTGTATCAACACTGGGGATGAAAAATGGATTAATTTTAACACCCCCAAACGTCGAAAAACGTCGAAAGTCGACGCCAAAGCGGAATATCCATGGAAAGAAGGCAATGCTCTGTATTTGGTGGGATCAGAAAGGTACCATGAGCTGTTGAAAAGTTGTCAACCAGTCGCAGGGGATCTCTATCGAGAACAAATGATCCGTTTGAGCCGAGCATTGTACGAAAAACGACCAGAATATGAAACGAGACAGCATAAAGTGATTTTGCTTCATGACAAAGCTCGGCCTCACGTCACAAAACTTGTCAAAGAAACGTTAGAAGCACTTTGCTGAAAAGTGTTCCTACCCCATGCGGCTTATTCACCAAACTGTGCTCCTTCCGACTACCATTTGTTTCGGTCGATGGCACACACGCACCTGCTGACGAACGCTTCAATTCTTATGAAGACGTCGAAAAATGGGTCTCTAACTGGATAGCCTCTAAAGATGAGTCAGTCTTTCACCGCGGAATTCGCTTGCTGCCCGAAAGATGGGAAATATTTTGATTGATGTACTTTTTCATTTTGTTTCTTAAATAGAGCCGTATTTTTGGTTAAAAAACGGAACGGAACTTACGAATACACCTAATAAGATCTGCGAACTTTTTACTTTACTTTAAAATATTTTACTTTAAAATATAATCATTTACGATTTGCTGAACTCGGATAACGGCCTAATATAATATTTACAATATTCGATTTAGTAGCATGATTATTACTCGTGTCATCATCGACTGTTTTACACGCAAGAGTTTATACGGGTATTCACAGATGGTGGCGGTCGAATCCTTTCCATACTGAGCAAGCGCAAAATCGCGATGGTTTAGTGTAATCACGGAGAGCGATTCAGTCAAACAATAATTGTTGCGCTGTGAACATCAATGACTATCAACGAAGGTAGAATAAATCTTGAAGCAAGATTTAATAACAAAAAATCTGCACTGCTGTTAAAAATATAACAAAAATATAATCATCGACAATCTTCGAAAAGGAAAAGCATAATTTTTTTGCAAGAAGTCTATATGATCTATAGATCACAGAAGTTCAGAACTTTGATAATTCACGAAAGTTTGCGAAAATAAGAATCAAACTTGATACACCAGCAAAGAAACATTGCGTTTTCGATACGCTGAATTTACCGTATTTTTGAGTGGCAAAGTTAGTGCATGGTGCATGAAATATTCGGTTGGTCGTGCACAAATCGTTCTTTGTTTTCCGCGAAAGAGTTTACGTTGGAGGGAAATTTTCCAGACATATGACAACAACTCGAAAACCAAAGGATAATTACAGTAGCAACTTTTCGTACCGATAATAATACAAAATAATACAAAAGAGATCTTGTAAAGAGAGCTTTTGAACGATACAGAAATGTGCATGTAGAAATAGTGCGATGTTAAACGTTATATTATTCGTCCACTCTTTTTCTTTATCCGTTATTTAACGCTTTAATGTTTATTGCTGTGTACATAAATCCAAAGAAGTATGTTAACTGTGCTTTATAATAACAAAATATATAACTTATAAAAAATTATACGTGAAATAATATAAATAGAATAAATTCTTCTATATGTGAGTGCTACAAGTACAGTGCAAAATGAAAAATTAAATAACTTCCACATTCATCAATACGTAGATAATCACTTCTAGCAAATGAGAAAGAGAAGTGTTATAAATAACATTTAAGATTAATGGTCTATTCTGAGATTGTAAGTAATAATATTTCTTCAAAAATTATATTTTGTAGATTTGAATTACATGTTTACCATGTCTCGCCAATGGCTATGGGTATTCGGCATATGGCCCAATCCACATATTATTTTGAGTGGTTATTGTCGGCCAAGCATACGATTCATTATCGTTACGTGTACCATAAGCCTCTACTTATCCGCGCCTCAAATGATGAATGTGATCCGCGCTTGGGGTGACGTGACTCGAATGGTGGAAACTTTTGCCGCCGCAAATTACAGCTTGTTAGCAGTGTGCAAATTGTTCGTTACTTGGTATCACGGCAAAAGTAAGTTCACTTTTCGCAACAACATGAATATACAAGTTTAATTTTATCATCAACGATGCGAAACGTCAAAACTACCTTCCTTTATTAAAGCGTAAAATATTCTGTAGTTTTTTTTATATATGTATAAAGTAATTTGCTTGCTTTCATAATTTATAATGAAATTGACATATTGTGTTCAACTTGGAAGCACTTCGACGGCTGTTGGCATCGATCATGGCCGATTGGACGACTGCGAGCAACTGGGAACGAAATACTATGTTGAAGATTGCGAAACGTGGCAGAAACTTATCTCTTAGATGCTACGTAGCCGCGACGGGTTTGATTATATTTTCACTTTGTTTTTATCTGTTGAAATTCTTTAAAACTATACACCAGCCTCATCGGAGCCTCGCGTATCGGATGGAAAATATCCAAAAGACCCCTATCTACGAAATCACATACATTATACAAATGTTCGGCGGCGGATATACAGTCCTTGCTAACTACACCATCGACAGCTTTGTCTCGATACTTGTGCTGCACGTGTGCGCGCAACTGATGATCCTACGAATGATACTTAACAATCTCGTCAACGAATTAGGCAGCAAATCTATATCTTCGTCGAAATTCAGAGAAGGTTTAGCAGCGATCGTCGTACGACATCAGCATCTCATCAGGTATGCGGAAAATTTCTGGTGCTTTATTTGATAATGTAATTAGTGAATTAATTTTTATATTTAAAATTCAAAAGTCAAATTCCACGCTTTTCTTACATTATAAAAAGAAACAGATAATATATATAATGTAATTTATATATAAAAGTATTCTTTAATTTTATATTCTTTTTTTATGTGTCTGTGCTTTTATAAGCGGCGAAAAGAAATTTGAAATCATAGACCTAGGTACAAACGCGATAAAAAATATGAAATTAAAATATCAAATCTAATAGATTTAATATAGAAATTCTAAATTAAAATTTCTTTAAGACTTACGTATTCAGACACAAATAATAACTCATTAATAAGTAATGTTACAGTAATTAAATGACGTACGAATTTTTCAAGGAACGCAAAGATGATCGACGATTGCTACAGCTCAGTCTTATTTGTGAACATGTTACTCGTTACTTTTCAGATGTGTTCTATAACTTTTCAGATTTTCACGGTATGTTAGATCACTTATATGTATGTTTACATATTCCCTCCCGTGTGTCTTATAAAGCGATAGAAGTGAATGAATAATGCATACATAAATTATACTTTTCATTATATAATAACGCAATATATTGCATTAGCTTTGCACAGAGCAGTGCTTTATCACACGCTACGATTGAAACATATTATTTCCAGATAATAACAGATAATTTGAAAATGCCTGTCGTCAGAATGAGTTTTCTCTCGTTTTATATCACTTGTATGTTGACACACTTGTATACATATTGCTATGCAGCTGAAAGACTCATAACGGAGGTAAAATAATTGTGTAATATGTATTAACGCGACCTACAAGAAGAAACCAATTTTCAGAGCACCAATATGGCATACGGTGTGTTTGAATGCAAATGGTACGATCTACCAGCGAAAGACGCAAGAAGCTTAATGTTCATTGTATATCGAGCTATGAGTCCTCTTAGATTGACAGCTGGAAAATTCGGGACCTTTTCATTAGAGATGTTCGGAACAGTACGATAAAAAAATATGTTGCTTTGTCTGTGTAATTATTGTCATTTTGTGATTATGGCAACACATTGCGACAAAATTAATGAATCTGTGAACCAGTATGGGTTCGCGCGGTACGGTAAGGAGAAACAGCCCAACGTACAATTGCTACGTGCGCGACGAAACAATGGGGGAAGCGCTTTGTAAGCGGCAATGCACGAACAACGTGTAACTCCTCTGTGCGCGTAACAACCGTAAATGCCAGGCTATCTCTTCTCAGTGAACGTGCGCGAATGCACGTTGATTCACGGATTTTTATTAATTAATTTCCCATTACTTTCTCATTATTGTTATAATCATAAAACGGCAAAAAGCTTTTCTATTCAGTTTAACCCGCTCTAACTACACATGACAGGTGTTACACCTGTTATCAGATACCTTCTACACATATACATGTATTTTATACATATACATATATTTCTTTGGCATATGTGTTTTGTATATTATTTGTGGCGTCATGATTATGTAAAACTGTATTTAACTTATATTTTATACTCTTGTGTGTTTACAGATTCTCAAAACATCAATGGGATACTTATCTGCTTTGCTAACAATGAGAGATTAAAGACTATGGAGATAACAAACAGATTTCTGAACCAACATTGCATTTAACAGTTAATTAGAAAAGATGCTATTTTTTGTTGGATCTTGGTAGCATAATAATAGCATTTCTGTCTAAATTTTCACTAAATACTTTTTTCAAGTGAACTGCGCGCCGATTATTTATCGGTCTCAAAGAAATATGATTATAAATAACCAAAATCTGACAGACCTGACCGAAAATCACATCTCCCCTAATTGAATGGATTTCTTATAAATGACTATCGATTTTTGAATAATCAGATTTATATGCACTGCTTGTAATCACTTTTGAATTAGAAAAATACACATTTCTGCGCAACAAGTCAAACTTTTAGTCGACTATTAGTCGAATTATTTACTCCTTTCTATTCAACAATTTAGTCATAAGAACTTAAGATAATTAAAGAAACAATTACACATAATTGAAAAAAAGTTAAACATTAAAATATAATACAGTCAATAATAGTAAAAAAATGTATTTTTTAAAATCCGAAAACAGTGTTTTAGAACAGTATTATTGTGCATATGTCAATCACATTGTGCCTGTAAGTGACATGATTTGTTTTGTTTTCTTGCATAATCTATGTAATGCAAAAATGAAGATATACTAAATATTTCAATTTTTTAATTTAGTAACAATATCTTTTCGAGTTAATAGGATATAAGGAAATAGCTATTGAACTTAGAAGAAGATACGTATTATTTTCAAATAGTAATAAACCATTAGATATGTTTATGTTATCAAAATGATTTTCCCCTTCTTTATGTCATCATTGTGTTCGTATATTTATTGTTATTTAGCTGAAAAACTTTTTGACGGATGTAAAGTAATTATGTATACATACATCAAACGCGATCTCTCTGTACAAAATAGAAAGGTAATTTTTAGGAAACCAATATGGCATTTTATGAACACTCAATTTAAAATTAAAACAATTTCAAAAATCTTGATTTCTTTTTGTCAATATTATCTTGTTACTTTATTACTCGTCAAATAATGAGTTATTCTACTTCCTAACAATGATAAAGTAACAAGATACTATTTACAAAAAAAATCAGGATTTTTAAATTTGATTATTATCAGTAACATAATTCTATGCTGTTTGCGTCTCCACTATCGATTGTTATACACGAAAGGGTTTATGAAGATACTCACAGATGGTAGTGGTTGAATCCTTTGTATACTGAGCAAGCGCAAAATCACAACGGTTTGGTACAATCGCGAAGAACGATTCAGTCAAACGATTATTTTCGCGCCGTGAACATCAATGAATGTCAACGAAGGTAGAATATATTTTGAACAATAGTAAAAATGTTTACACTGTGATATTCTATTAAAAATGTATCACACTGTGTAAAATAATTGTACGAAATAATGAAAGTATCCGCTCTTATTACAACAATAGTATGAAATTTTGCCCGAAGAATTCTTATAAAGAGAGATTTGAAGTTTAAACGACATAACTGTGCACATAAAATTAGCGCTATATCAAAGAAACGATATTGTTAACAATTTTTATCTTTGAGTAAAACATACTATTTGTTCTACTTTATCTATCATTTATAATTTTAATATTCATAATATACATAATCGCTATATTCATAAGCATAGGGAAGTGTATTCTCTAATAATCTAATACAAATTATACAAGAAATTATATAAATGGAGGAAATCCTTTTATAAGTGCTGTTATATTACCGGAAACAAAAAATTGAATAGCTTCTAAATTAACTGCTAAGAATGAATACTTCTGGCAAAAAATGTTGAAAAATACATAATAAATTAATAACTACTCAAAGTCCAACACACTACATTGACAAACAATGACATTTCTAAAATTCTAAAGTTCTAAAACCTAATTTTACTAGATTTGAGTTACGCGTTTACCCTGAATCGACAATGGCTATGGATATTTGGCATATGGCCCGATCCTGACATCCCTTTAAGTGAATTTCGTCGGCCAAACATTAGATTCATTATTGTTACGTGTACCGTGATCCTGTACGTAACCGCGCCTCAAATGATGAATGTCATCCGCGCTTGGGGTGACGTGTCTCGGATGGTGGAAAATTTTGCCTCCATGAATTTCAGTTTGTTGGCGGCGTGCAAGTTGCTCGTTACTTGGTATCACGGCGAAAGTAAGTTCAATTTTTCGCGACAATATAAATACAGATTTAAGTTTAGCGTCGATTATATGAAATGTCAAAGCAGTATCTCCCTTATTTAAGCATAAAGAGCCTAGATAGTGTTTTTATAAAGAGATTTAGTAATTTATATGCGAATTGATACGTTGTCTTCAACTTGGAAGCACTTCGGCCGCTAATGGCATCGATCACATCCGATTGGATGACTTCAACGAGCAACTGGGAACGAAGTACCATGTTGAAGATTGCGAGACGTGGCAGAAGCTTATCATTTAGATGTTGCATGGCCGCGGTGGGCACGATTATATTTTACATTTCTTTTCATCTGCTGAGGTTCTTTAAAAACATACACCAGCCTCGACGGAGTCTCGTCTATCGGTTCGAAACTATCCAAAAGAGTCCGACCTACGAAATCACCTATTTTATTCAACTTTCCGGCGGCACATATTCAGTTCTCGCTAACTATACTGTCGACAGCTTTGTCTCGATACTGGTGCTGCATATGTGCTCGCAACTGATTAATCTACGGACGACACTTAACAACCTAGTCAACGAATTAGTCAGCAAGTCTATATCTTCGTCGAGATTTAGGGAAGGTTTAGCTGCGATCGTTGTACGACATGAGCATCTCATCAGGTATGCCGGAGAATTTCTGGCACGTTACTTAATAGTGTGAAGTATTTAAGCTTACTTTGAGCTAACAAATTATTTTTTAGATAAATTTAAAAATAAAATACTATTTTCCCTCACTTTCATATCATGTGAGAAGATTTGTATACAACATGTTTGTGTAAAAATATTTGTTGATTAATTTTTTAAAAATCCATCTTGCTTTTAAGCAGCGACAAAAAATGTTGAGACTATCAGACTAAAATAAACGCAAAAAAACCATAAAAATGGTTTTAAGAAAACACAAAAAGGGGAAAGTTGACGATAAAGGATATGAAATTGAGTTATAAATCCTAATAGATTCAAGATAGAAATTCTAAGCGGGATATTGTTTAAGATTTATACATTGAGATCCGGGTAATAAGCCGTTAAACGCACAACGTGAGTAATGTACTAATTTTCAAGGAACGCTAAGACGATCGACGGCTGCTACAGCTCAGTGTTATTCGTGCACGTATTAGCCGCTACGTTTCAAATGTGTGTTATAACTTTTCAGGTTTTCACGGTAAGAGGGATTATTATGGTTCTTCCATATTTTATATAAAAGCTAAGAGACTAAGTAATAATAAGATAAATATATTAAATTTATACTCTAAAATTTGTGGAGTGAATATTTCCTCCAACAGAGTGAATATTAATTCCAATGGAGTAAACATTTCACTCCATGGCAGTATTTTCACTCCACAAATTTTAGAGAGTACTATGTACATATTATGGATATTATACATTTACTATTTATACCCTTTTTATTATGTACTAACACAATATGTAGTTAGATCGACACTGCTCATTGTTTTATCACGAGCAACAATTGAAATATATTTTCAGATAGTGACAGATAATTTGAATGTGCCTGTTATCAGAATGATTTTTCTTTCGTTTTACATTGCCCTTGTATTGACGAACATGTATGCTTACTGCTACTCAGCTGAAAGGCTTATAACGGAGGTAAAACAATTACAATATCGGAGATAAACAAAATTAAGTCGCGTTTTTTTGCGAAATTTTTATATTTTTTTAATCAGCTTGACAAAGTGATAAATGAAAAATATAAAAATATGAATTAACATTGTTCATCTCCGAGGCGCTAATATATTAATGCGATCTGGGAAATCGATCGTGAATCTTTTCCTATATAATGACTTTTACGCGTGTCGACAATATATGTTAAAGAAATTATATTTATGACAAACAGTTAAGCCAACGACACACACAATATGTGTTTTCGTATTATACGGTGCACAAATTAAGTACACGGAAAAAACAATGTAGCTGCTGTAGCTAAAACTTAGCAAAATAGGGACAGCTAATATTTTAGTTGTAATAGCTCAATATTTTGCTACTGTGCCTATTGTATTAGGTGCGACAGCAAACGGTTTGCTGTCGTAGCAAAATATTGAGCTATCACAACTAAAAATATTAGCTGTCCCTATTTTGCTAAGTTTTAGCTACAGCAGCTACATTGTTCTTTCCGTGTAAATCATTAAATGCGCATCATATAAAAGCAACAGTTTCTTTTCATATTTTAAATAAATTTAAGTAAGCTCCGATAAATTTATGATTAACTGTACGAAAAGAAAACCTATGCGAAATTTGATAATTTTCAGAGTACCAAAATGGCGTACGGCGTGTTTGAATGCAAGTGGTACGATTTACCGCCGAAGAACGCAAAGGATTTAATGTTCATCGTGTATCGGTCTAAAATGCCACTTAAATTGACAGCTGGAAAATTCGGAATCTTTTCGATAGAGATGTTTGCAATAGTAAGATATATTCTATAAGAAAAAATATGTTAATTATATGCATCTATAATGCGTTTTTATAAAATGCCCCTTTTTGGAATTATTAAATAAGATTAAATTATTTTCTGTTTTTCTACTTTATAATATATGTACAGTACATTTTTGTATTATATGTATATTACGTATGTTTCGTGATATCACGATTATATAGAACTGTATTTTATCTGCATTTTATACTTTGTTCAGGCTTTGAAAACATCAATGGGATACCTATCTGCATTGTTAACCATGAGAGGTTAAAGGATATGATATACTGAAGAAAATGATAACAAAATAATATAATTGAATTTAATATAATTGATTATAATATCAATTGTTTAACAATGGAAATGAACAGGTTTATATGCACTGCCTGTGACATCACTGTCGAATTGGAGAAATACACATTTTTGCGCAACATGTCAAATTATTATTCAAGTAATAGTTAAATTAATTATTACTTCCATACGATAATTAGTCCTGAGTACTTAAAATTCTTAAATAAAATTTGGAGAATAAAAATGTTTAATCTTATTGCACTGCAATAATAATCTTTATGAGATAATTAAATAATAATTTCTGCGTATTGAATTTACGTTAACAGTTCATGATAACTAGAACTTACATGGCAACAAATTACAATCGATTTTTCAGAGATAAATCGATTTGGAAATATCGCCAGGTGTTCGTTACGAAGTAGTAACTTTCTCTGATTTAATTTTTAAGTATTTTCTACCGAGCCTAGCAATACTAATGCAGGTCATGGTGATCATTATCCTAAGGGTCTAAATAATCGTCGAGTTTCTACATAGTGATCTAACTCGTCCCTTGCTTTATACGGCCTATTTTCCGTTGCAACCCGCTCAATGTTTTAATTGACTTGTGTGTGCCAGATTCTATCGAATTATAGCGCGACGGTGTCTTCCACCGGTAGCGACAGTTTCATCTCCATGCTAATACTCCATGCCTGCGGCCAATTCCAAAACTTGCGCGAGGGAGCTCAAGAATCTCGTCAACGATCTAAACGGAGTGAAAACGTCCGAGGAGTTCAAGAGTGAACTGAAGCGAATTGTAAAGAGAATATTTGAACTGGTTTGTATGATTTGTGGAAACAAGGGTTTTCATCAAGCTACTTTTGTCTATTTTGTATGCCAAAGAGCAGGATTGCCTCGTGTAAAACAAGTTTACGTAAAGACTGTTGAGTAAGTACATAATTATTAAATATTGAAATAAATTTCAGATTCAGTTATTTCAAATCATTAATAAAATTTTCGACTCTTTTTCCTCTATTCGTACAAAACGCACGTGACAAATTTTCAAGCTCAATCTGTTCAACTCAATAAGATCTAAGAAATCATCAACCATTTTGCTCATATAAAGATATTTGGTGATAAAAATTTCTATGACAAGAAATTGTTTCTGCAAAATCCTATGTGTATTTATTGCGTCATAATTCGACCGAAATAATTGCTAAAACTTAACCTGTCGCCATATGTATATGTTAAGATTTGCAACAACAATTAAGGATCATTCGACATTAATAGATATTAATATTGCGAACGGAAGAAAATATTAAATGTGATAATATTGCTTTCATAAAAACTAAATATTATTTTAGAAAAAAGTAAAATGTTCGTGAAAATATGTGTAACAAGCAAAATATGGAATTTAAGTATATAGTAAAAAACAATATCAAATGTTTAATATTACTTTAACGTCAATCGATAGTTAAGAATACATTTAGTGACCATTAGAGTCTCATATGTTCTCCATCGCCATTTACTTGTAAACTTCTTCGATAGAGGGAACCCTTGGCATTAAAAGTGAAGAGCTTATTCTCTCGATATTAATATACATATGTATATGCTATTTTATTTACATTTAATAATTATTTCTAGTAGTCGCAAAAAATATGACTAAAAATCATATGTAACACTAAAATTTACATAAATCCCCAGACAGCTTTTTGAATAAGTAAAACAAGCGTTTTTCAAAAATATAAAGTAATCTAATTTTCTAAAATGTGTTTGCTTAATGCAAAAATAATAAATATCATTGTTCAGTTTTATTGACATCGCTATCTTGATTTACGCGCAGCGTTAAAAAATAAGAAAACTTTCATATATTTAGATTATATTAAATTAAATAATATTAAAAAATATATTTAAATATATTAGTAATGTTTTAAGTTTTCCGATTCGATAATAATTTGAGACATAATTATATTATAGATCGATCATTGTATTGTTATGCATAGCTTACTTCCTATAGTATATACATATTCTCGAAGAGCATGCGTCGTCATGACTCGCATGCGCTTTCAAAAGATATGATTCTTTCAGTTACTTTGACGTCGTCGTCGCGTAAGGGATGTCAGGCGAGGTCGGTTTAGATTTGCCTAAGTTCTTTGAGTCTAAATACTTTATAATTTTTTTTTATAAAATATTTTATGCTTAAGAATTCTATGAAGTGAATAAATAAAAAAATGCTGGACCGGTATTCGTAGTCAGGCCTTATATTCAAAACCGTCTTAAGTTTATCATAAGATGCTGTATGGAACATTTCATTGGCTACGAAGTATCTAAAGATGATCTTAAGACGATCTTAAACATAAGATCTGACTATGAATGCCGGCTCTAGTGTTCTCTGATAGAAAGATTATTAAATACTCGGAGAAAAGATAGCGGCAATCTTGAAGAAAATTATTTGTTAAACCAATTGTCGTTTTTATACGCTACTTTTCTTTACTTTTTTAATACGAGTGTTACTGTATTTATATATAAGGTGATGTTTTTTGTTCTAAATGCAATGCGTCATTAAAATGTAATAAAAAGGGTGTCTTATGAAATATCACACGACTACGGAAAGAAGAAAGGAGACAGAAATTTCCTCTCGCTTTATTTTTGTCTAAAAAAAGCCAGATTTGGAGTACGCGTACGGATGGAATCGTTATACCATGACGATTATGGGAGCTTGGCCAGAACATAGAAGTTTCAGACAGGCTACAAGCTACAAAGTGATAGTTCCTGTTCTAACGATGCTGTGCTTCTGCACCGCACCGCAATCAGCCAATTTGCCGTCCATATGGGGCGACTTTGACTCGGTGGTAGAAAACTTGTCCATGGCAAACGTAACGATTACGATCTCGATGTTGAAGATTATTATATTTTGGTCTAATGGTGGACGTAATTATATCAATTTTCATACGACAGAAATATTAGTCTCAATTTTTTTTATTAATATAAGACGCACAATAATTTTTAGATCACGTTTTAGATCACAAACAATAAAATCACAAAAAGTATGGATTATTTTTATGAATTTTCTAACAAGGCGAAATACAATCAGAGTTCCTTTCAGTTCATAAGCAGCCGTAATTTCTTTTTCTTTTATAAAATGTATTGGTTCTATCAACACTATTCGACAAATTTGATGGACTTTAATCAAATTTCTATAGCTAGAGTGTATTTTGTCCATCTCTAGCTGTCAAGTAATTTGTCCAATAATTTTACGAATAATATAATTGATGCGAATAATAAACTTATTGAAAGAAAGAAATTGTGTCCAGATTACGCAGGAGAATTAGTTGAACAATATGTAAGATTGGCATTTTTTATCTCTTTAATATTCTGTAAAAGCCCTGAGGACGCTTATATCGTGGATGGCAAAGGATTGGAGCACGACCGTGGATAAACGGGACCGCAAGACGATGATGGACATAGCGATCGCCACCAGGAAACTGTCGATAAGAAGCACCGTGCTCGTTCAGAGCGTGGTGATGGTCTTCGTCGTGTTTCGACTCATAGCAATTCGACAAACCGGTCGCCAATTATTTCTTCCTGCGTATTTCCCTTACAATATGACCAGCAGTCCTTTTTACGAGTTGACTCTTTTCGGTCAATTCGTGGGCATTATATCTGCGGCAAGTAGTTACACGGCGGTGGACACTTTCATTGCCACTTTAGTGCTCCATGTATGCGGCCAGCTTTCGAATCTGTGCCACGAACTAACAAATCTACACGCCAACACAAAGGCGGAATTCCAGACGAAGCTGGGAAATATTGTGAGGAGACACGAATATCTCAACAGGTGAGATCAGTAACGAGAAGCAATACAGAAGAATCGAAGGGATTAATTGTTGCGCGGTATTGAGGGATCACTCGAAATTTTCTATAAAGCACGCAAGCGTCTCTAATAAAATTCTATTTATAAATGTAATTTACAAAGTGGTCTTGATAGTGACGTTTCCCATAAGATTTGCAGAAACGATCGAAGATTCATTCAACATGATGCTTTTGATGCAAATGCTGGGATGCTCGGTGCAGGTCTGCTTCCAGTGTTTGCAGGCGTTTATGGTGAGCCGCAGAAAAAGGACAGATTATATAATTAATATAATCCGTATAATATTATTTATATAAACCCTTTATTATAATCCTTTTAAAATAAAGAAAAAAAGAAAAAAAAAGAAAAATCGACCTGTCGTCTCTCGTTGTTTGCAGGCATTGCTGGGCGAAATGGACGAAATATTCATATATAAAATCTCTTTCCTGACACTCTACGTGACTTATATATTGATACAATTGTACATGTACTGTTATATTGGCGAACAACTGCTTGTCGAGGTAATACGATAAATATCAATAGCTTATTGATTAATTTATTGATGTAAATCCCGATATTTTGAGACATTGATACCACAATATTACAATTACGAATATTATAATATTTTTTTTGCCAAGATTGCCAAGAACTAGATTCAATTTTCAAGCAAATATAAATACTGGTAATTTCTTAGTTGGTTTATCGATGTAAATTCTGACATTTTGATATATCGATATCACATGTTAAAATGAACAAGATTCAATTTTCTGACAAATATGAACACTGATAGCTTATAGATTGATTTATTGATTTAAATCCCGATACTTTCATATATCGATACCATATTGCCAAAGTTATCAAGAATATAATGAATCAAGATATCTACAAAAATATGTCTTGGGTCATTATATTTTTTAAAATAAGATTCACTTTTCAGACTAATATAAATGTTGGTAATTTATTGATTAAGTTATTGACGCAAATCCGAATATTGATACGATATAAAATTCAATTTTTAGACTATCATAAATGTTGGTAATTTATTGATTAATTTATTAACGTAAATATTGTTATTATATTACCGAAAGAACATATACGTATATTAATTGCATTTTTAAGGACGAGATTTAATTTTCAGACAAATATTGGTAACTTATTGATTGATCTATTGATTTAACTTCCGATACTTCGATATCAATATCACATTGACGAAATTACATACATCTTAGATCATATTTCCAATAACAAGATTCAATTCTCAGAAAAATATAAATGCTGGAAACTTATTGATTAGTTTATTGACGCAAATCCTCATATACTTTGATGTATAGATATCACATTGCTAGATCTACATATACGTTGGATCACATTTCTAAGAACAAAATTTAATTTTCAAACAAATATGAACAGTAATAATTTACCGATTAATTTATTGATGTATAAATTTCGATGTGTCGATATCTCGGTACCATATTGTTGAAAGTAGGTTTATTTTCTATACTTCCAAGAACGATCTAACAATATGAGATTTATTTTGCATCGGTGAATAATATCGTTATCTCAATTAAATAATAAAATATATTGTTAAGTCAGAATTAGACATTAAAATTCCCTAGTGTTCAATGATTCTAGAAAGTGATTCTATTTGCTTCGTTGTGACAATGAATTGTACTTCAGAATAGTGTGTCATTAACTATGTTACACGCTTTCGTTTTAACGCAATCTGCATGACGCCTGCTGACGTTAATAAGCGAGACCAAAATATACGTTTTTCTATCTTGTAATATTTATGTTTTTCTTTTATGCAATAATTAGTTAATTATTTCTTCGAAATGTATGAAATAATCATGTGATAGTCGATAATCGATTTGATATTCGATAAAATAATCGTTTAGAAAAATGGTAAACCAGTCAGTTGTCATAAAGACTTATACAATTATTTAACTGATCGATTGCTTTCAAAAATATGCATTGTTTTTGTATAAATATGCATTGTAAAATCTCATAAAATTTTTATTTATCATCTTTAATAAATTTATGCGCGTAACGCAAATTTGAAGATCAAAAATATGTATATCTAGTAAATTAGAGAGGTCTTTCGTGCATTTATAATATGTGTTAACCGTAATTATCCAATTTCCTCATATAAGAAGAAATCGCTTTAATATAAGGAAAATTAATATGTGGAATTTTGGATTCACGCAAAGAGAATTCATACAGATTCTGATTATGGCTTCATATTTAATGCAACTGTATATCCTCATTTTTGCCGTTAGCTACGGTTTTACGACTCATGTTTCCCTCGGAATCTTTTGAATCTGACATTCCAGAGCACGAAAATAGCATACGCGGCATATGACTGCAGTTGGTACAACTTGTCAGCGCGCGAAGCGAGATTGCTAATGATCATCATGTGTCGAGCTCGGTCGCCATTACACATCACCGCCGGCCCGTTCTGTTCTTTCAACCGGGAGCTCTACAGCGAGGTACGATATCATAAAACGCCATTATCAAATCGATTTTCTTTCTTTTCCTTTGTGGATCAATAAAAAGATCAATTCAATTTAATTTTTACACTCATATATTAAATCAATGTATATTACAGATTTAATTATTTTAATTGTATGCATGTGCGCACATCTTTCATTTGTGTGATAAAAACTACTGTTCTGATTTTGAGAAGAAATAGCTTTTCATATTCAATAATTTTTTTAATGAAGAAGTATATAACTATATCGACAGCAGAGTAATATGTTAATTCGAATAAGTTTAAGTTTGAAGGGTGCAAAATCGATATTGATTTTAGATTCTTAAGAGATCAGTGGCGTACATGTCATGTATCTATGCAATGAGAACCTTGGACTGAAATGGAAGTAATCTCTACCTTGCCCGATAATTTTTTAATGAAATTACATCATTTATGATAGAGGGGATGTATATTTTCGAGACAGGTTGTAAAAGAAACCTCTGACATTTGTCGAATTAATACTAAATAAACTATTGATTATAATCAATGTGTGATTACACGATCTACAAAAAAAAACCCTTCGCATTTTATGAATCATAAAATTCATTTTATCCATTCAGTGTCTGAACGACAAGGATTAATTGATCAAATAATCAAGTAATTGTTATTAATCACATTATATATGCAAAAATACAAAACTAAAATATCTCCTCCTCTGTCCTACAGTTTCTTTAATTTCCATTTCTTGTAAAGAGTCATAGAAGAAAGAATTTAATCATAACGTTTATACTTGTTTATTAATATGCTAAATGTCATTTCGTTCAATCATATATCGTATAAACGTGAATACGATAGCATCTCATTCGCGTCATATTTGTGTTGCGCAGAGTTGACTTGAATTTTTATTCTATTCTGATATGACGCAAATCTATCGAGCGATCATATTATCTCGTATTAAAGCGTGTCATTGCACGTGACAGGAGAAAAACGTTTCCTCGAGTCGCAGTATGCAAATTTTACAACTTCTGCACGTGCGCAGAAACGAGCGCGATGAATAAGAGATGCAGAGGAGGCGCATCATATGGAAAAGAAGAGGGATGAGGGGATGCGACGTGACGAAACGAAAATAGCAGAGCACAATGGCGACTATTAATGAGGACTCGCAGGGGCCGGATCTCACATTAAGTATGCGGCGGAAACTCGAGGGAAAACATTTTCCTCGTTTTTTCGCCGGCTTGTTTTTCCGTACCGACCGTCCGTCTCGAGTCGGGTGCATATTTGAGCAACTTGATCCGTCACGGACGAATTACTTAGAGCAAAGTGCGCATCGCCCCGATGCATATTTAATGAAAGAGTCTATAGACCCTGTGATTACGCGCAACAGTTCGAGTTACGAGTTCGTAAACTACTCTGTGTACGATGGTGGGGGGAATATTTCGAGAATACGACGAAACGGAGTTTCTGATATACGAGACCTCGCGAATTCTACTGTCGCGAATGCTCGATCGATAATTCGCAGTTTCGTCCGATCCACGGGGTTGATCGCTTCTACTTGTTCGCCGTTCTGTTACACATCACCGAAATTTCGCGATGTGGAGGACTCGCGCGAGCGGTGCTTCTCACTTTTCATTTCTTTTAACAAAAATTTCTATGTCTTCGGTGCTTCGCGGTAGCGTTGCGAAATATATTTCCGCGCGCGAGTTTTCACTCTCCGAGAACGGGAAACACACAAATAACAACTCCAATAATGTTTGTCCGAAACGAAGGGTCTGTCGAACGGATCAAACGCTCGAGCGAATTCGCACGAGTGCACCGTTTAATTCCACCCCGTCCGGGGCATTTTATTCGGGTAAAAGTTTGCGAGTGATGTGCTTTCACCGCTTATTTCCGTCAACCCGCGAGGAAAGTGCGCGCGGAGAGCGGTTAATGAGTGTCATTAACGATTGCGTGGTCTACCGTCACAATGGAGAAAATCAGAAAATGACAGTTACCAACTTCGAGCTCAGATGAACGCGGATAAAAACCGGTGACTTCACGCTTTGCCGGGAGAGCAACGTGCGCGTCCAATATAAAAGTACGCCGCCAGGTCGCAACGTTACTTCGACCTTAAACGTTCGAGTTAAGAGTTTAATATTTCGCTCGGTATTTCGGCCTGTGAAATACATACCTCGAGGATTCGAGATACCAGTCTACATCAGACGGAAATATCGTGAAACAACGAAGAGTACTTTTCGGTAATAAATCAACAAAAAATGACATTTGCAATTTAGGTGATTGCGAAGTGTCGAGATTTATGATCTTTCGTTGGAACCGCCTTGTCGATTGCCGCGTGTCGTAGACGATGATAGTTAACGCGAGAGTGATTGCGCTGGTCGCACTGGTAACTTACGGCGTGTACGCTCACGCAGCCGACATTCGAGATTCTTACAAAAGGACCGACGATAAAAAATATGCCGGATCCATGTTGGCTGAGATCGCAAAGGAATTCATACAAAGATCAACCACCAGCAGTCAGGTAACAAAAATTAAGCGTCATTACATAAGGAGTATTATATGACGATCATTTCCAAACAATTTGAATGCCCGAGAGAATATTGTTGTTTCAATAATAGCATCAATAGTTTATTTTATTTGCAATAATCTATCAATATTATTATGTATTTGTGGCAATTAATTACACGAGTATTTAATTCGCTGAAGTTATTTAGAAGTATATAAATAGTATAATAAACTGGTGTAATTCCGTGTTATTGCAAAGTGAAGCTGCGTCTCGCGAAAACGGTTAACTCTGAATGTTAAACTGTGCAAAATTAAATTAAACGATAATCGCGGTGTCACAGGTGCTGAATTTAAATCTCTCGAACTTGCTGCTACTTTTGGTGCTTAAAGCGGTTGTGTTTGGCGCCGGCTACATAGGACATCATGGTTACAAGGGACGCGAATTAGAGGATGGTAATCTCGACGTTTGAACTATTGTACATTTATCCGAACACGCTTTTTGTTGTATCGCGACAATTCCATTGGCAATAACTGACATTGCACGCGACTAATGTCTTATCGTTCTTCGGAATGGAGCTAATGGCAAATGTGCGCAGCAAATGAAACAATTGCGAGCCTCATATCTTTACTCTTAATTACGATTATTTCTACTAATTTCAGAAAATATCGTGTCGGAGGGTGAGATTGCGCTAGCGCTTGGATATCTGATTGGTGACACCTGTTTGTACAGGGCAGCCTGCGAAGAGCCACACATTGCGAAAGAGTATCTCGGCGCGGCGGAAATGCTCTTGCAAACAATGAAGTTAATGCCACAGTATGTATGCAAAGTATTAAAGAAAGAAATGCACGAAAATAGGACACCTTTGAATAAATTTAAGTCAAATATATCATATGTACTTATATGTGCTATAAACATGACACTTTTATATATCGTGTTCAAAACATGACGCTTACTATCGGCATGCACGCCGGCGTTTTACTTGATTCCGTTTCACGAAACTGTCTTGCGCGCCCTTACGCTCATTTTTACTTTTGGAACTTAATATATCTTGAATGTGAAGGCAAGCTATCCGTAGAAAATGGGAAATAATGTACACTGTTGCTGCGAAAATACAACAGCGAATGTTGTCAGGAAAAATTTGCATTTCCGCAGGAATTTACCTGTAGAACTCAGCTATGAGAGGACAATGGCAGAATTTCGGAAGGCGATTGAATATGGCAGTATCGAGCAATGTCCGCCGGAGTACAGTTGCAAAAAGGAGAATATAAATAATTTCTTACGAAGCGACAAACGATAATGCGTATTTAACAAAACATTTCGCAATTCATTTCTATTTTGTTTAGGTTAAACTATAAAAATCGCACAAGATAGATAATACTTTATAAACAGTATATCTTTTAGAACTAATTGTTTACAAAAATTATTTCACTTTTATTGCCAAAATTGAAATAGTAGTTTGATAACTGATAACTGAGAAAATTTACGAAGAATGGCAAGAATATTATCATTGAGAAAAAAATTAGAAAATAAAAATGTTATTTTTAAAATAATAAATTGTATTTTTATAACCTTGTTTTTATTCGAAAAGTTATGTATTAATCTTTCACACGTCTTAATCATTTTCATCAGACGTATGAAAGTATTTTTATTGCCTATACAGTTATTTTTTATTATTAATACACAATAACGACTTTTATGAATTCCTAAAAAATATGTTACAAAGATAATGTTGTTCCTTCAAGAATACGTATTTTAAGAACTTTCAATTTTACAGTTGTTATTATATGCTACAAACATATGTTTCTCATTGTTGATTTACATTAATTAATTAACGCTCCTGTATTGATTCAGAAACAATGAAATAGAATTATCAATTATAACCGAATATTTTTCCATAATTAATGGCATGGAAAATGTGACCAAATTAGCATTGTCGGCATGAAAATGGCTTGTAATTTGCATATGTGGACACATAAATTTATGCACTGCATAACTGCGTACGCACTCAAATAGCACAACAGATGATCATTAAAAGCTCAAATAGGATTAATTTTTTAATTCTGTGTGAATTAGCATAATCTGTTCAAATGAAACTCAAAAGAATCCCTTTCGGATAATTCATAATAATACATTGCAGTTATATTGTAGTTTTATCTGTCTTTTTAATTACCGAGTTATCCCGTATTCCGCTGTTTAGTCTTATCCATTTTCCTACCTACCCGCGTTTCAACTTTTTGTTAATAAACCCTATCTTTCGTTAAAACCGCGATGCGATTTATAAGAGATCCGATTATAAGCGTCTTTTTAATCTCGCACATATGCGAGAATATGTAAAGAAGATAAAGAATATAACCCACCCGTATTTTGACAAATAACAAGAAATCAGCTTATTTCGTACATCATCGTACTCATATATCAAAGTGGTCAACATTGACCACGTACCGCGTTGGGCCAGATTGGACCTACCTTCCTGGCCATACAATCTGGTCATTTTGACCAGAGATCAGGAAGGAAAAAAACTCCTTCCATAGTCGGTTTATTATCGTCACCGACAGATATTTCGTACGGTTTGAACTATATTCGAGCGTCGATCGTATTGAAATGCACGACCACAAGAAGAAAATTAATTTAAACAATTTGCTGCACGAAACTAATCAAATATATTTTTACTTCCGTTATTTATTCAAAAATAGATAATGACTGTCTCTTCGCGACTCAATCTTTAGAAAAACAATTTACTTTCGCGTTATATTTATTTAATTTCCGCGATAAATTAAAATTTATAATACGAATAAAAATAAACAATTAAAAATTTCTTGAAAATTTGTTGAAAAATGATTGCGAGGACCGAGGCAAAATACTAGAAAATAAATACTAAAATACTAGATATGACAAAACGCGCGCTTCGCGCGCGCAGTTTGTAGTTGAGAATTGTATATTTTTAAGAATTTGTATACATGCAAAGAAGTAATTGTATGCGCAACGTCAATTTAAAATAAAAAGTAATTTATCACTCACTTATACGATTCGCAACAGCAGAGTTGTACATCGTTAACCATATATGTTACTGTAAAAATACAAATATGTATATGATTATTATTTATTATAGACTAATTATGTAAAATCGAAATTATTATATTAAATATACTTTATATTTTATATGCTTTAAAATAGATATTTATTAAAATAACGATATAGGATACTGAAAAAGTCTTTCTTTTAAATATAAACTCACAAAATTGTAAACGTATGGTTTTGTCTCTAACACTTATTCGTATCCTCGTTCGAATCATTTGAATAAATCAAATAAAAGCACAGAACAGATGTTTTATTTCGCACAAGTAGCAGATAAAAATGTAAGACACTTACCTCACGTTTTTCCCGCTGTTGCCCGATGCCTCCTTGGCCTGCTCTTCCTCTCAGATTTCCTTGTTGCACTTCACAAAACACACACTCGCAAAAATCATCGATCGCGCGAAATTTTCGGGCACTCCCGTACGCGATGTGAAATATCGCGAAACGCACGAAATATTATTGACAAATACCCCGTGACTCTCTATCATACAAATTGCTCAAACTGACAACGTGTATTTTTGATTCGGAAGAATAGGATAATGGATAAAACACTTTTGAATTGGCGATGTAAGACGCAACGCGAGCACCGAAAGCATAATCTTCGGTAAAGAAGTGGTTATTAGTCCGCAACAAAATGATATTTTACAATCTTTGTCATTCAATCTAATCCTCGAAATAAATTACGTGGACGAAATTGTCAGCGATAAATAGTTGTTATTAATTGCAACAGTTAATCGAGATAATTTTCAATTTACACTTACACAATGTAACGACGTGCGATAAGCGATTTACAAATCAATAGCGTTTTATTCTTCCATTCATCGCGATCGAGTCTTGGAAACCGATAATGTAAAAATAATACTACGCACGGAGCGACTCTCGCTGCTGCCTGCCGGCTCGACGTTCGGCGAGCGAGTGAGAACGCCGCGACCTTCAGCAGCTTCAGCTACACAATGGCACGCAAAAACATCGTACGTCACCGCGCCGAGAGAAAAACAACTACGAACGTTGGAATTCGGTGTCTTTTTTTGTTCCACAACTGTTACTACGTTTTGCGTATTATTCTGCGGACTTATTGGTATTGATTAAATAAACGATTAATTCTGTTAAATCGAGAAAATGTATCGGAACAAAAATCGTTGTTATTTAAATTCTAATTACTAAGATCTAATTACTAAGATAAAGATTTTGCCTCAATAGTTGGTGTATACAAATGTATATTTCTAAATTGCAAATCTTCATTTACTATGAACGTAAAAGAGAAGTGAAGCACACCGCGCTTCGAGAATACCAATCGGCATCGTGGAAAATAGGTCTCAACTGTTCGATACGTTACCGTAAAGTTGCTCCGCCGGCGCCCGATACCTTTTCTATGCCTCCTCCTCCACTCGGGCTATCCTCTGGGACTCCTGCGGCTCCAACAGTCTGTAACATCAATTATAAAATTCGTATTAAACGTGTGTTCAAGGAAACCAATATTGCAGAAAATAATTCTTGCGCGTATCGAACTTTATATTCAAATGCACATTTAAATGGTTATACATTTTCCAGAAAAGATTTTCAAGAATAAACTTTTATGAAATTTGAAATTGCGATCTTGAATTTTTAATTATTTTTATTAATATGGATGTATAAATATCTTTTCTCTACGTTGAATCTATAAGATTGATGTTTGTACAGTAATTCTTTATATTGCTGCAACGTTAAAACAATCTTGAACAGATCATTATTTTTTGACGCTCCAATAGATACTTAAAAAATGTATAATTATGAAATGTATATATATTATAGACATGTAATATTTTTGCAACGGTCAGAAATTTTTTGAGCTAAGATTGAATTATAATTTTAGTGGAATAATTTAATTTCAGCACTTCTAACAGTTGTAAAAAATATTCTGCTAAACGCGACCAATGTTGTTAACTCAATATAATTTAACAATGTTTTCTGAATGTTGAATTCTAACGTTTACAAGACATTACAATTCTGCGGACATTAAACGTTTTTGTAATATCTTTTCAACGTTGAATCTACATTTCGTACACAGTTGGAAAATTTGTGGTTTTTTTGTAAAAAAAATGCCGGTTAAAATTTTTGTGTTAAATATTTAACACATTCATGTGTTAATTGACCTCAAATGTAAAATTATTAAAATAACTAAAAAGAAATGTTAAAACAACACAATGTGTACTTATTTTTAATCTGACACAATACATATGTTCTATGTATATTATTAGTAACAAAATTTATCTGTTAAAATTTATAGAAAATGGTGATTTTATTCTACCTAACGTAAGTAAGAGATTTCGAATCGTCATTTGACTTATTACATCTGTAAAATGTAAAAATTACATTTAAAAAAATTCATTTTGTCATTGAAAATATGTTAATTTTACAAAAAATTTATTTCAAATTATTTTGAGATTTGCTTTTATTTTGCGTTGAAATATTAACAGAGTATTAGTGCGATCATTTAACGTATCCATATATATTACGTTAAATTAACACAAAAATTTATGTGTACCGTTTGGGACAGTTTAACGCAAATTTTTCAACTGCATAACATTGATGCAATATTGCAATGTTGTAACGGAACGTTTCTGAGATCTTGATTCAACATTTGTGTGCTGTACCCAGTGAGAAATGATTCGTCGATCGACGCCGAAATAAATGTCGAATCGACGTCAATTCGATGGTGTCGATGTCGTTTCGATGTCGATCGACGAATCATTTCTCACTGGGTATGGGTAGCCCGGCCAGAAATAACTCGTCGATCGACGTCGAAACGATGTCGCGTCGACATCGAACCGCCATATTGACGTCGATTCGCTTCGACGTCGATCGACGAGTAATTTCTGACTGGGAGGGTATACTCGCTCGCTCGCTGCCTTCGGACTTTTAAACTGTACCCGATTGTAGCACACATTTGCGCCTCTTTGTTCGAATAATAATTTTAATTTAGGCGAACCAATTGTAATCAACGCAAACGTAAACTTTATTTCTACGGCGCGAATGAACTGCGAAGCTGCCGCCGCAATCAACGTCGCATTCGCTCTGCAGCTTGAATCTTTGTCTCTTGAAAATAAGCAGAGCCGCTAATGAAATTGCGACCAAATTTCTTGTAGAATCTCACCCATTACGTTATGTGCGCGCAAATGGGATGGACTTGTGTTGAAAATCTCGACGCGAATCTCAATGAAGACGGATTCACTTTGCTGCGCCGAGCACCAGAGTACTTTGCTTGTAATTCCTGCTACCAGACGGCGCTGACAACCCCGCGAGTGCCTAACCTATTCTGACAGTCGCGGTGACTGCGCCGTTCTCTGCGCCACCGTCGCAGATCCTGACTTGTTTGATTTTCGCCTGGTCACGTCGCGTCAGACGCGTAAACAATTTTTCGTGTTTCGGCTGCTAGCGTCGCTATTCCGGTACGATTTCTCTGAGAGATGAGTTCTATTGGCACAGGGGTGAGTACGCTGCACGATCGATCGGCACGCGATTGCAAAATCTGGCGCCAACACAGCTGACACTCGGCCGCCTAACCTCGCTTTTGTTACAGTACGACCTGTCCGCCTCGCAGTTTTCGCCGGACGGACGGGTATTTCAAGTGGAATACGCGCAGAAGGCCGTGGAAAATGGAGGGTGAGTCTCGCACGTCTCGCCCCTCGTGATTTCTCGCGCCAAGTCAAGCGTGATAACGTGGCTAGTGGAAATCGATGCGACACGTACAACGGCCAAGGCCCGGTCTAAAATGAGTTGTTAGTCAGAAGTCAGGACTACGTGTAGGTCCTTTTTCTTCCACCAACAACGGAAAAGGATCGACATACAGTTCCGACTTCTGACCAACTCCTTGTAGACCGGGTCCAAGACGTTAATAAGGAGGAGTACACGCGTGCGCGCTTGCATCTCGTTTACGGTTACATTCTGTTGCAGGACAGTTATTGGCTTGCGAGGGAAGGACGGCGTGGTGTTCGCCGTCGAGAAGATAGTAACGTCGAAGCTCTACGAATCGGGCGCCAACAAACGGATATTTAACATAGACCAGCACGTCGGTATGGCAGTCTCTGGTATAATATCGGACGCGAGACAGATCGCGGACACCGCGAGGTCAGAGGCCGCTAGTTACAAGGCGCAGTACGGAGTCGGTATTCCATTGAGGTATTTAAACGAGAGGGTCTCCATGTACATGCACGCGTATACTTTGTATTCCGCCGTACGTCCGTACGGTTGCTCCATCCTGCTCAGCGCTTACGAGACGGACGGCCCGATGTTGTGCATGATCGACCCATCGGGAGTATCATACGGTTATTACGGCTGTGCAGTAGGTAAGCGAAATGTCTATGTAGTAAAAGACACTGGAGCGTATAGACGGAAATTTACATCCTGCGGTTATATTGTTCTAGGTAAGGCAAAACAGTCGGCAAAGACGGAAATTGAAAAACTGAAGTTGTCGGAGATGACGTGTAAGGATTTGGTTAAGGAAGCTGCTCGTATCATTTACCTCGTCCACGACGAGCTGAAGGATAAACAGTTCGAATTGGAAATGAGTTGGGTTGGTGCGCATACTAACGGCAGGCACGAACGTGTGCCGGCCGATCTGAAAACCGAGGCCGAGACGAAGGCACGGCAGGCAATGGCGGAAGACTCGGACAGCGATACCGAGGATATGTGAAACGATATCTAGATACTGCCGTTAAAATTCTTTGTATTGTAAGCGATAATATTAAATATAACATTAATGCACACAAATGTATGCGCTGATTTGTGATTTTAAATCGAGTGAGTGAAGATATGCCACCACTCTTGAGGAGCCGTGGGCTCCTTTCGGTTTACAAGTTGCAATTTTTATGGAACCGGGTTATAAACTCCTTGCTCTATTGCAGAGAACTAAGCTTATTTCAAATCCTATTTTTATGGAATAAGAAATGTATGCACTGATTTGTGATTTTAAATCGAGTGAGTAAAGGTATACCACCACTCTTACAGGTGCTACAAGTTCTTGAAGAGCCGTGGCTCCCTTCGGTTTACAAGTTGCAACTTTTATGGAACCGGCGGGTTATCAGCTCCTTGCTCTATTGCAGAGAACTAAGCTTATTCCAAATCTTATTTTTATAGACTAAAATATAGATTTCTAAAATTGATACCCATTCGCCTTATAACTTCTCTACTCGTATCGTTTAACTCTCCAGTTATCCTCTTGCAAAGCCAAGGCACATGTGGGATTAGTGTCGAGGATCCGGGATTTATCTACTGTGAGTCGCTCTCGCATACAGAGCTACGCATTATCCCGTTTTAAAGCTTAGTTATTGTTACTGTCTGGAGGCTTCTGCCTTCCAAGGGGCGATGTAATACCTCGATTTACTTATCTCTAGTTAACCTTTTCTTCTATTATAAGTAGAAATTGCAAAAAAGACTGATTTGGTGCATTATCTTAATCTTTAATGAAATGCGGAATACTTGCAAAAGAATCAAAATAGTTTCGCAAAACTTTTTACCCGTCAATAAACATGAATCATTTTTGCAACTATTTCTTCAATTTTAAACGTAACTAAAACATGCCTGTGTATGAATCGGTTTGTTTTTTTTATGAAAAATGCGATCGTTACACATAACAAGCACGATGCAAAATTTCGAAAAATCCGATAACGAACGTAAAACGCATTTTCCGTGTGAGAGATTTTATCCAGCTGCTTTCATGCACACTCAATACAGTTCCGGAAATTTTTTCAATTTACAGAAACCTTTTGCAATCAGGACAAACGGCTATCGCGTGTAATCTCTTTATAACAACGATAAGCTTCAGCCGTCGATAATTAAAGAACACGTGCGCAGTTTTTCTCTTTTAGATCATATGTTTTAAAAGCTTCTTTTCAGTTAAGCATCTATGCCCATTTTAAATTAAATTCTTGAAAAGGAAGGACTCTCAAAATCAAATCATGTAAAATAAGAGGTATTAATCAACATCAAAGCTTTGCTTTTTAAATTAAAAAAATTGTTTCTCGCATTACAAGATTAAGCATCATATCGATACTAATTTTATGTTTGTGTGTTGTTGCATAAGTCTTTCCACTGTTTTTTGCGATTTTAATTTTTTACGATGATATGAAACTTTTACAGGAAAAAGGAATGAAAAATATATTTTATGCCAGGTCTACATTGTTGACACAATTCATGTATGTACATGGAGAAACGCGGTATCCTTTCGCAGAAAATTACAATTATTTTGCAAGATGATACTCTATCTGGTAACTCGAGTGAAATAGATAGAATTTCATCTGCATAAAGACGCGCAATTGCGTCTGCACAATGCGGTATCAAATTGTATACGTAAATACAAACGAAGAGATATTCCACCAGGAGACGTAGATCTTTGAATCTTTGAAGCAAAATTTTTTCTAATCGGTCGACGTACAACTTTGAATCACAAGTCGGTTTTACCGATATATTAAATTAAGTTTTAAAGCCTTTGTTTCTTTCGGAAGCTAAGACCAAGATGGCCAAAGTACAAGTAGAACTGAGCGTAAAAGTCCGCTTCAAATCCCCGTAAACATTTTACGGATTATACCGCGATGTAACTATGTAACCTTGCTAAACTTCGTTTCTACAGCGTTGAAATTAAAAGACGATGAGAAACGAGTTTAAAACGATTAGGGTTGGCCAGGATCTTCGGAATCGGCTTTCAGGATTGCGAATATCAAGGAAAGCCCTTCGTCAAAGTAAATCTTGCAAATCACCGAAAAGAGCGTAAGCGGAGAACACACACCCACAGAAAGAAATTTCCGAATCCAATGCTATTACACTTCAATGTATCACAAAATAGGATCGATATAGTGCCAATCACATTCCCTAAATCCACATTATTGATTTCATTTTAATATTGTCTTATTTTTATACCTAATGAGGTTGCGAGAAATATAAATGCGTTAAGAATATTTTTTGTCTCAGTAACAGAGATCCTTTGTGAGGGTGCAATGCCTGTGGTTAACGCGCATGACCCTGCTCTTTTACCCTGCTGGACTGCGTTCAGAAACACCACCCGAGTACTCCAGCGTATTATTCTATCCTTGTTGCTCACCGTATGTTAAACAAGGATAAAATGATACTCTGGGGTACTCGGGTGGTGTTTTTGAACGCAGCCCTGGGGGTCGGTTTCCACCGAATGGCGACCGAAAGGGTTTTGGTTTGTGTCGAACTTTATGTACATAAGGGTAGTTCGACTTAGAAACTCAGCCATTATAGTGATTGGATCCGCCGCATCGTCTCTTCGGCGAACCTCCGATGGCGCAATAGCATTGATCCTGTAGTTTTTCTAATCAATCAGGTTTTATTCTCCTCTCTGCTGTAGAGTGAAATTTTCATTCGTCGGAGAGTCGCTGGACATCTTATCTGACGACGAGAAACATGCCATTGAATCTGAGCATCGATCCGTCGAATGACGTTTCCGTTCCTCGAGGAACGAACCGGTGTCTACATTGTGGCGATCATGCTCGGCTTTGTAAATTTTTTCGGTGTCGTCTTGAATCTGCTGGTCATAGTAACGGTCGTGAAGAACGCCAGTGTACTGTGGACACCCAACAACGTGGTCCTCAATATGGCCGTATTTCAATAATTAAATTTGATTTCTTTAAACGTTGATTTTACGGATATTACCTTTAAATTAAGTTTTAAAACCTTTATTTCTTCCGGGAGCTAAGACTGCAGACAGACAGGGGGCAAATGAAACTGTAAGTAAATTAATCCGCTTCAAAATCGATCCCCGTAAACGTTAAACGGATTACACCGCGACGCAACTGCCACGATGGTGAATCTCGTTCTTGCAACGTCAGTTGAAACTGAAAGGCGATGAGAAACGAATTTAAAACAGTTAAAGTTGATCAGGATTGTTGAAATCGGCTTCGAGGATTGCGAATATCGAGGAAAGTCCTCCGTCGCGTCAAAGCAAATCTCACAAATTAGAGGAGCGTGCCGGAGAACGCAGCGCCCACGCGCTCAACACGTGCATAACCCCGCTTTTTTACCCTGCTGGGGGGTTGGTTTCCGCCGGAGGGGTGTGCGACGGTAGCGGTTTCCACCGAGCTTTATATAAACGTAGCCCGACTTTGAAGCTCAGCCACTAGCTTTGAATATTCCGCCCGAGACGGACCCGTCGCGTTCATCACTGGCCAGCTTCCTCTTCGGCGGATCCCCGAGGGCGCAGCCGCACCGTTGATCCTACTCTTTTCTCGTCAATCAGATTCCATTCTTCTCCCTACTGCGGAGTGAAATTTCCGTTCGCCAAAAATTGACACCGGAAGTCATCCAACGATAAGACACATGTCGTTGAATCTGAGCGCCAATCTGTCGAGCGACGTTTTCATTTTCAAGGCACAAAACTATATTTTCGCGGCGACCGTGCTCAGTTTTATCGGTTTTTTCGGTTTTGTCTTGAATCTGCTGGTAGTGGTTACGGTCATAAAGAACGCCAGTCAACTGTGGACGCCCAACAACGTGGTCCTCGTCAACTTGGTCGTGAGTGTTTCTATTTTAATAATTAAATGCATCTTTTTCAGATACACTGAGAAAAATTTTCATCGGATAAACCAATTAAATAGTATGTCCGATGGTTAATTTTTTCGATTACGTTTTCCGATTAAATTATGGATATATCCGCTGAAATGCAATTACCGATGAAATTTGATTGAAAAACCGATCGAATTTTTCATCGGATATACAATTTAATCTGATATATCCGTTTGTTATCATGTAATTGGATTATCCGATTATATTTAATCGGACATTTTTCTCAGTGTAATGTTTCAAGTGGAAATTGATCTCTGCGAACCCATACAGCACGCATGTCTAAAAGACGACTTAAAGATGTCTTCTAGACATGCGTGCTGTATGGGAATATCCAAAGTGCGACTCTAATGATAATTCGCAATTTCGTGTATCTGGTAAATTTCGTCTCTTTTGTATATGTGCACCGAGAAAAATATCCGATTAAATATAAACGGATAATCCAATTACACAATAACAAACGGATATATCCGATTAAATTGTATATTCGGTGAAAAATATGATTAGGTTTACGATCAGATTTCATCGGTAACTGCAGTTCATCGGATATGTACATAATTTAATCGGAGAAATTAATCGGAAAAATTAACCATCGGAAATGCTACTTAATTGGTTTATCCGATGGAAATTTTTCTCAGTGTGCATACGACGTCAGAATCGATAACAGTGTCACATAGCGAGATGTCTGTCGAATTTATATTTAGCTTTCGCTAAGGAAAATAATAGCCGTTTGTTTAATATTTTGAGGCACACGATATAGTTTTACATCTTTACATCGGAGTAAATGAAAAACAGATGAAATTTCAATAACTTCCGCTGTGAATGCTCTAAAGGAATAAAAAAGTTCTGCGGAAACTTCGGAACCTAACTTTTTAATAAATCCGCAATAAAGAACTGTTTTTATCATTGTTTCTACGTATTTTTCAGGTCACTCGTACAAAAGCATTCACATCGAATGTAATTAAAATCGCTGCTCGTTGTCAGTCTAATTTCATATCCTACGTATTGTGAAAGCCCCACGGCATTGTGAAAATAATATCACTGAAACAGTATGTGATTAATTCTGGATATTTTAAAGCGGTAACAGAGGAACGAAATGCGGCGAATGACACGAAAGGTGATGAGAGGGATAACTAATTATAAATGTTTCTTTCAAAACTGTTATTACTATTTGCGTTAATTCTATAAAAATTCCTTTACCCAAACTTGTTATAAAGTTGGCGCATTTTAATTGTAAAATCTTAAGCTACCAATTTATTACTTGCTTTGTGTAGAAAACAATATATCGCACAAAGATATTTTTGCATATTATATCTTTCTCATCTTAGTAATATTTTAGAAAAAAAAATACTAACCTTCTGTTTGATTAGCTCTATCGTTTTCCTGGAATATTTACAAATAAATAATATACATACATAGATACTTTATTGAAGACATTTTTAAGCATTAAAAAGAACATGTTTCGAAATGTCAGGCCATTTCTTGGGAAATAAGGACGAAAGATCATAAAATGGTAGGATTTATATGACAGGTGTATTTCATCACATAGCTAAGAATTTTTCTCAACAGTGACACGATGAAATGACAAACAATGAGGTAAAACCTGATAATTTCATAAGCGATACAAATATGAGAAAAATACATAGTTGTTGAGAACTACAGCATAGCAACCTTTGAATATCAAGCGCATGATGCTTTTCCTGCGTACAAATTTTATCTAAAACTTTAAATTATAAAAAGTAAATGTGTTTCGAGTCTATAAAGATATGTAATAATAGAGTTACATTATATTTTAATTAACAGTGCTCTTACACAAAAGTTGCTTAATAATAAAGTTTAAGAAATCACTAAGTATCGTGAAATGACAAAAGTTATCAATCCAAATAGAAACATGTTTCCAGAAAGAAGATACACAATTTTTCGTAAAAAAATAAGATTCCTTTTTAAGTTTATAACACTGTCAGATTACCGATACTGGCAAATCCCATAGTAGTCATGAACCACGCGTACCTTTAGTTAGAAAATTAGTTAGAAAGTTAGAAAATTAATCTGATTCTTACAATTAAATAAATGCATAATATTAATCTTTAGATTATTCATATTTTTTACGTATTGCCGTTGAATCCAATTTCGATTATATATATTTTTTATTATAATATATTATATTTACTAAAACTCATTTTGTTTTGCTAATTGTTCTGAACTTCTGCAGAACGAATTCTTTAGTGGTGTAATATAATTCAAGATAGCCATGCAACAGAAGCTTCATAACGTTTCATGATAGACAATGAAGGATCTAACTTTTAACAACTTCGAAAGTAGTCAGTTCTTGATATTACTACAAAACTTTGTTCAAATTCATTTCGCTACACCGACTTTATACATATGTATAAATACTAAAGAGTGCAATGTGTTTGACAGTAAGTAACACGTGTCTATGACAGGAAAATAACGCACAGTATCTTGTAATCTCGAGAGATGTAGCGGCTCTAAATGCATAATTATACTTTATACTATTCAGTTAGTGTAAAGAGTTGCGAGCGTATTCGTAATGCTTGACACGTTTACCATGACAGGTTGGAGATTTCTTAGTAGCTGCGCTGGGAAACCCTTTCGCACTGGCATCGGCGATCGCAGGTGTATGGATCTGGAGTCACGAAGTGTGCCTGTGGTACATGCATCATTATTATACAAATAAATAATATCGTAACGTTATTATATCAGTCTCTTAGAAACTAAATTGATCAACATTCGTGAAATAAAAATAACGTATAAATAATATAATAACGTGTCGCCTCTTCTCGAGTATTATAAATAAAAATTATTACGTCAAGAACTCAAGATTAATTCACGAATAATCTGCCTTGTAGAACACTCAATTATTCGATTAATATTATGCATTTATTTAACTGTAAGAATCAGTTTTTTAACTGTAAGAATCAGAACTGTAAGATCAATTTTCAAACTTTCTAACTAATTTTCTAACTAAAGGTACGCGTGGTTCATGACTACCATGGGATTTGCTAGTATCGGTAATCTGACAGTGATGGCAATGGAGAGATTCCTACTAGTCGCATATCCGATGAAGACATTATCAATAAGGTAAGGAATCGTCGATTTCTCTTCTACATATATGCTTTTCAGAATGAAAACTATATATAGCTAAGATATATTTCCCTTATTTATCTAATCAATCTTCGGAACGCTCTGAAAATTTATGAATCTCTCTCCGTAAATTTATGATCGACGCAGGAAACGTGTGTTAGTAAAGAAAAAAAAGGAGCGTTTCTGCTCTCTTTATTAAAATTTACTTCCGAAAAGTAATCTTTTCCTTTTCACTGTAATACGTAACGATTATAATATAAAAGCTGCGAATACGGCGAAACGATTAGCTCGCGCATTCCTCGACTTTCTATCGCACACTTTCATCGCAACGTTCTCCGGGAAGCGATGTTACTCATCACATCTACGAGGTGATCATTAACACCTTTAAAATGTAATTTGCACGGGTTTGCGATAAATTTTAATTGCATCATACTCTCTCATTTCTCCTCTCGTACATCATGTACAAAAGACGGACGCGAGTAACGAAACATGTTCAAATGACAAAAGAATGTTAGGGGACTCGGTAGCACTACGAAACTATTGTGAAACGCGTTGCATAGGAGTCTTATTTTCTTCACAGCAGGCCCGCAAAGTGACTTGCATACAATTCCCGCACGTTAAGCAACATTAAGCGTAAATCACCTCGATAAAATGTCAACCAATATCATTACGTCTTTCATCATTATTCGACGGGACTTGATTGCGGATTACAATTTTTTTGATATCAAAAAATGCAATGTCATCGTTTTGACACTGTTCTCATGGTCGTGTGTTTCGCAGGCAATTAACGACAGTTTAAAAGTAATCCCCTTGTTATCGAATGGAATCCCATTCCGAGAAAGTGCTAGTACAACCAAGCGGACTTTCAATCCGCTTTAACAGTAAATCCGTGATTTTGCTAATGAGTTAACCATTTCACTAACGAGAACTCCACACTGGAAGATTAATACATGACGATTAATTGTATAATTACGATTTACACGGTAGCAATTATCATCATGTACTTATGGGTTGACACTTACAAAATTGGGAAATTAAAGATCCATTATAAGAGAAGATAAGTTGCTAATACGATGTTAAATAAAACAACAAAGATTAAATACATTTTTAAGACGAATCATTATATCTTAATCATTCGTTTTAATTAAACTTATACAGCTTGAAACTTTAACTTACCAAATTTATTTAGCATTAAAAACTTGTTCAAAAATTGTACCTAGGGTTTTGCTACAAAGAGAAAAATATTCTACGAATACGTACTTCGAATCTACAAATTTGTTTTTAATATTTTAGATACGGGTGTTATTAATCTACTGCCGTTTTGATGTAATTAAAACTCGATAATTGAGAAAAAGAGCCAAGAATTTTCACTTTATTATTCAAATGCAATATACTTGTAGTAATTATCGGGACGACACTTACGTTACAAGTTACAACGTTATTGATATTGATTTCTATTTTATTGTTAATACAATTATGTGTATTAATAAACTATTAACATAATTGAATCTCCTTCTGATGTAATTAAATTAATCTAACTAAGGTAACGAACAGCCGGTGTTTGTGCAAAAGACTTTTATTTCCATTTACAAGTGCTTTAATATGCGAACACTTTAAATTTCCGCTTACGGGTCAGAAAAACTGAAGCATATAGAAAAACATTGAAGCGAAGAAATTCCATGTTTCCACTCTTCACTTGTTTTATTAGTCTGTGTTTTACATTTTGTGTTTGACTGTTTATTTATATTTGTTCCGTTTATATTCTACGCTTTTCTTTTTCTCAACGGAAAACATTTTTCCTACAACTGATGATAAATGAGATAGACAAAACAAGAGAAAAGTGAAAATACGGAATTTCACTTGTTTAGCATAAATTGCGCTCCATCTTTCAATAGCGATACAATTTCGCAGAATTGGGAAGTACTTTTTTGGTAACTCTAACTTAACTTCGTTACTTTCTCTCCACCTGTAACTGTAACTTAACTCAGTTACATTTTTTCGATAACTAGTAACTAATTTGATTGTTACATTAATAGTTACTTTATTTTTTTTAAACCTCCACAGATCGCATTAGACCTTGCATTTGCACATAAAAGCCTTTATCGACACTTTACAATTCAAATGCAGATTTAATATTTTTATTTTTATTGCAAGAAAGTAACTGGAAAGTAATAATTCGTTACTTTTTGAATACCTGCAACTGTAACGCGTTACTTTTCAGAATTGGTAACTTGTAACTTGTAACTAGTTACATTTTTAGCGAAAAAACTGTGACTAGATACTTTAATAAAGTAACTTCTCCAAGCTTGCAATTTCGTATAATCTTTCTCGACTTAAGCAGTCCTAAGCAGAATTAACTTACCTTCAAAAACCAATTGTCAACAGGCATGCTTACATATTGGCGTTCTTGGTCTGGATATATGCACTCTCCTTGTCGTTACCGCCATTCTTCAATTGGGGAGCTTACGGCCCGGAGGCAGGTAACATATCCTGCAGCGTATCCTGGGAAAAACGCGATCCTGAAACACACAACGACACTTACATCGGATTCTTATTCGTTTTCGGATTCTTCCTGCCTATCATAATAATCACGAGTAGTTACTGCGGCATAATAAAGACTTTGAACAACATAGGAAAACTAATTGGTGAGTCTTCTTCAGTTTTAAACAATAGTTTGCGCAAAAGTTAAACCACGCATAACTCCTCTCCGTCTAAGACGACGGATGCAATTTCTACTGAAAAAGAAAAAAAAAAGCGGAAGAATTGGTTCCAAATCGACGAAAGAACGCTCGGACGACATAGAAAAATATTTATAATATTTTACCAGTTATTCTTAAGTTAACGAATTAATTTTGATCGGTATTGCTGTTTCTATTATCTGTCTCGTTTCAGGTGCGAGAAATAGGCGGGAGAAGAAAGTCACTAGAATGGTATACTTAATGATTCTGGCTTTTTTAATTGCTTGGTTGCCGTACGCCGTTCTTGCGCTCGCGACCCAGTATTTCAATGTAAGTATTCTTGTCAATTACGAAAAATTGAATATTTCAAAGACCCTAAAGACAGCTGTTGCGAAGCTAGCGTTTAATAGGTTTTGTCAGATTAATTATTCCAAATTATATAATTCGCAAGGTGGAACCAGTAATCTTACACCGCTGCGTGACATAAATAAATGACAGGAATATTACAGCATACATATTCAAGCAGTAAAATCTTTTTTTTCCTCCAAGGCAATGAGGTCAACTTCTTCGTGATTAACTAACCATATCAGAATTTAATGACTGGCACACCGATAGCTTCCCAATAGCGTGATTAATTTCGCCCCCCCTCGGACCAGGAGGAATTATAGCTTGTGAGAGCATGTATATGATTACAGGTGCAACCCTCCCATACCGTTGCGTTGTTGCCAGCGCTTCTCGCCAAGTCCTCCATCTGCTACAATCCCATAATATATGCGATTATGACTGTCCAGTTCCCCAAAATTTGGAAGAAAATGTTTTCCATCAATCGAAACGTTAACAACAAGCAACAGTACGGAAACGAACTTGGAAGGAGATAAAGGCGAGGAATATCAACCGTTTTACAGCCAAATTGGGTAGAAAGATGTAATAATATATATTACTGCGGGCCTTCGAAGTCACGCAGTAATATATATTATTATGACTTTCGACGTAAAGGAAAAAAACAATAATACATGAAGAAGGATGTTGCTAGGGAGTATCATTTATTTTCAACTATTAAAGAACGATAGCTCGGCTCTATTACTAAATCGATTGCTTTACAAATACATACTTCCCTCTCTTTGCCCTTTTTTTTAATTTTAACTTAATATCGTTCGTGACAAGAAATTTTTCACCCTGGACGTGCATTTTGATGGATTCGAAATTAATTCCGACGAAACGCTTGCATATAGAAATACAGGCAGGTTTCAACGCGATAAATATGTAACTGTATATGTTCTTCCGTTTGATTGTTAAATAAGCAATTCAGATTTATGCTGTATGTGTAGATTTCGGACTATATTCTGTAAAAATTCTCCGTAACGTTGTATAAGTAGCATTGTCGAGCAATAGAGAAAGAGCAAAGGGAGACAAGAAGAAAGAGCTACAGAGCTCATAGAGCGAAAACCCTCTTACAGGATACAGGGCTAACGATAAGTCTCGTTCGAGAAAAAAATTCTAGTGCAATGTGAGGAGTAAAAATATCGTTATGTTAATATCGCTCTCGTTATACGTCTAATTCTTTAACGAAAAGATCCGTTGCAAAATATGTGTTCAATGTGCGGAACGCGAATTCGCTCCAAGATCTCTAAAGTTTCAACATAACTTTAGATATCTATGCACGCAAGCATTTTCAGCGCTAGTCGAGTTTCTTTAATAACGACGAAAAAGAGACAAAATCTATGTAAAATAAAATTGTCAAGAGCAGAAATAAACTGTATGCTTAGCGTGTTTTAATTTTGTACGCTGAAAATTGAAATTAAAAATTTCGAGATTTATATCCGATCGTAGGCCGATCGAAACTTTGTGTTACCCCATCTCGCCACTAATGCTCCTGTCTTTTGATGAGAACAGTCTCCGAAAACGAATTTGTGTTTATAGAACGAGTTTACCTACTCAGGCGTAAGGAACTTGTTTCTCCGTAAATGGGAAAGTTCTAACTCGTTACCTTGTATCGTCTATCCAAATACGCAATTTGTACGCAATCTGCGCTTGATAAAATCGGAATATCGTGGAAACTTCAACGTCAAATTAAGTGGTATCGTAACTCGATCGCGAGTGATTACGATCGCAAGCACGTGAGAAAAGCTGAAACATCCATCGCGACGTTTTGACTTTTTAGCAGTGAAACGTGACGCGTATAATCTGTCGACGAGATGATATCTAACCAGTTATAGCCATCGTCACACGATTTGTCGAAACGTCGATCGAAGCAGGTTGCGCGTGCCGCGTGCGTATGTGCGCGCGTGTAAGAGGCAGCCGTCAGGTTCGCAGGTCCTACATTGTTGAAACACGATCGCGCGATTGCGTTATATGAGCAACCAGCGCGGAATCGAGTATTACGATTCGTAACACGCGCAATTATGCCACATCGGAGAAAGTGAAATCGCAAGGAAAATGTGCGGTTGCCCCGCGGGGCAACCGACGCGTTCGCATCCCCCCGCTCCCCGCAAGTTCTTATTAACATTTTCTGGACGAGCCGCCTTAGCGGAGATTCGTGTCTCTCGCGCGAGGATCGAGAAACTTTCCTCCCGATGCTGACGTCTCTATCATTGACCGGACACTCCTGTCTACTCATTATTTAATCCAAACGACAGAATTGCGTCTGAAAAGCAGCATCTCGCCTTGCTGAAAAATTCACAAAATGCGCCTCATTAAGTTGTTTCTCCATTCTCTCTGATTAGCGATTCGTAACAATGGTTTTCCTTCTTTTAATTTCGCAGTTTCTATTGTCCAGTCACATATAATTAGGAAAGTGAAAATATACACGCACACATGCACAGAGTGAATCAATGTCTTCGCGAGGTCATATAAAAATGCTAGAATACATTTTTCAACGTGTCAAGCCATGCGATTTCGGATAACACAGCCTTCTTTTTCGCGAACTACAATGTAGATAATTAGCGTAGGTAGTAAATTAGTAGATAATGTCTCGGTGATAAATGGTTTTTTACGCTCCGGTTTTATTTTCAATTATTCTTTCTTTTTTTTCGAATTTTATTGGCGTAGTCTTGGGCTTTACTGGGTTGACGTAATTTCCTTCTACGCCCCGGTGGATCTTTTAACACTTTTGTCACTTTCATTTGTTAATCAAATTTTACCATTATGCAATCTAAGCTGGATCCACGTTTTCTCTTCGTGGCGCCGTAGAAGCATCGCTTACAGCGAGAAAACACTCTGCAGGAATTCCCGACTCAGATGATATAATTACATCACAACTTTCCTTTATTAAGAATAATTCGATCATACTCCATGCTTCCTAAGAGCTTAAGATTAAAATTAAAGTTGTTGGCGGTTCTTTCGCGAGCGGTGGCCGGAAAAATTAACGTAGCGGTCTACCATGACTGATCTTATCCTGGACGATGAGGAATCATCCACGGTACGTGCTGAAAGTTAACGCGAGAAGTTGCACGAGCATCAAAGACAAGCACGACTGAGAAAGTATCGGTATAAGTCAGGCCTCGCTTAAAGTACTAATTGAAAGATACAATAACGTTATCTACCACCTCGTGACCGTCTATTCATAACTGTCTTGGCACGGTCAGCGTGTTTATGTCACGGTCACGTTCCTGCTTGATATGCGTGGGCATTAGATGGAAGATTCAATACAACATATACAAGGTGTCCAAGGTTGGTCCATACGCTGAATGCAAATGCCGTTTGGAAAATAATTTGTTAAGAAAGAATTAAGAGGGTCTTCCTCCAATCAGAGCGTCAAAAATTAATCTGCACGAATTTCATTTCTATCAGACAGCCCTTTAAACTAAATTACATTTAAATAACAGCTGACAATCGTTTTAGCAGGGTAAAGATAATAATAATTGAATGTGTAAATAATGCAAAGGGAATCTTCTTTTAATGGTGTCTCCGGTTGCGCATTGTTATCTGTAGAGAAAAGATCAAAGTGCTTCCTGCCCTTTGCGAGTCCTGCTACCAAAATACCGTTTAAAAAATTATTTGTTAATAAAAAATTAAGAGGATTTTCTCCAGTTTCTCCAGCCAGAGCGTCAAAAATTACTCTTCGCGAATTTCGTTTCTATCAGACAGCTCTTTAGACTAAGCTCTTTGATTTATTACATTTAAATAACAGTCGACGATCTTTTTCGTAGTGTAAAGATAATAATAATTGAATGTGTAAATAATGCAAGAGGTATCTTCTTTTAATGGTGTCTCCGGTTGCGCATTGTTATCTGTAGAGAAAAGATCAAAGTGCTTCCTGCTCTTTGCGAGCACCTGCTACCAAAATGAAAGAGATAGAAATTATAAAAATTGCGGCGAATAAAAAATATTTTTGCAATTACAGGCTACAACGAAAATTGAGTTTTACGGATTGAAATTGATTGAAGGGCGAAAGTGGAAGTGTCGATTTCGGCACGCAGTTATTTTGGCACATATAATAGTTTAAAATCGATTAGACAATTCGTTCTCGAAATGGAAACTTAAAAAATATTTTTACACGATTGACAACAAATTATTTTGAGAGAGACACATTAGTTTTACGCACCAGAGTTTCAATGTTTCAAGAAGTTTTCTTACATACTTAAATATTTCTATACAGATAGTCTTCTTTGTAAAGACAAACATTCTTTTGCTTTTCAGTTCTTGCTTCTTCCGACCTTAACCATGTACTCGAGTCAACTTTAAGAATGTAATTTTGAGACTCTACAAAACATTTGGAAAAAAAGTGCTAATTTGTGTGAGAAAACATCCTTAAAAGTGCGAAGCGCGATGTATACAGAGTTCATTAACACATAACACGTAAAGAATTTGTACCTATGAGTTATAAAAGAAACAACTTTACGACGTTCAAGTTCGGTGTCACTGCTCGCAATGATATGAGTCTCCTTGGCAATAATCGCGCGGATCTTATGTAATCCGTTTCTGTCGATATATTCACGTGCGGCCGGCGTCGGCGGAATTGCAGAATTAAATGTGTACACAGACTCGCGGAACACATTACAGATTCACCAAACAGAATGCAGATAATCTACAAAGCCGTCGCGTCCGCAGTGGTTTTAGGGAAGCGCTACCAAAGTCAAATAATCGTGTTAATTAAAGGCGTCTCGTTCAATATGCAACAGCTTATGTGTCAAAAACACTTTGAAGGAGAGACAGGCAGTTCCGATAGACATGACCTCGGGTCCCGTAGTGCTTCGTAAATTCAAAGTCAAACGCACCTCCGTTTGAGACGGGGCCAGATCAATTTCGTTTATCAGATACTCAGCTAACTCACCCTTATAACATACCCAGAAACAGGTTTCATTAGAATCAAATGTTTTTGGAATTTTGACCTTACCAGTTTTTTTTTACTGAATTTCAAAGAAATAATTGCTTTGCCAAAATTTGATTGAGACTGGAACTTCTAAGAGAACTCGTATCTATTTCTTCAAATCTAGCAAATGTTTTAGTGGAAGTAAATAAAACTTTAGTAGATTTAAAGAAACCTGATTTCAATGTTTCTCATTTGTTTAACCTGAATAAATCTCTTTTTCTGGATGCGCTAACGAATTTTCGGTTACGCTTCTTTTAATAGGATAAATTTAACGATCCCCGTAGGAAAAGTGTATTAATTAATATTTCCGAGCAAAATTCATTGAAACTAATGAAGCTCGTTATAAATGATCGATTGGACAATTCTGTTCATCTGATTTGCACGAAAACTGCAAGCGTGCGTCGAAGGCCCGTCGTTGATCGTTACACACGACACACTTTTGCGAAGAGCGCGGCAAGAATTGACAATGCGAGGCAGGTAACATAAATAAGTTGGACGAAAGTCTCCAACTATTTTCTGAAAGTAATAACGCGGTCCCGCCAATATTACGTTATAAGTTTCGCTTCATCAGGCCGA